CTTCATATTTACAGAGATTACAGGAGTGCAGAATGAGGTAATAAAAAGTTCTTCTTTGCCTTTAATCTGCATTTTCTGAATAGTAACCTACTTGGAAAAAGCACATTATAGAGATACAGAGCTTTGCAGGAGCAGAGAGGTTGAAAGAGCAGAGTTAATTTTACAACTGACTGATACCTTGATGTTTTAATTGCAGGGCTCTTGGATTTGGCTACTTCATACTGTGAAAACAGACTGAAAAAACTGTGTCAGCACATTATCAAGAGAGGAATTACTGTGGAAAATGCATTTTCATTGCTCTCTGCTGCTGTCAGATATGATGCAGAGGTAAACTTCTAAAGTTCAATCTCTTAAATGGGTGGCTGCTTCCTGACTTAAACTATGGAGAAAAGCAGCTGGTTACATTTTCATATAAGCTCTCTCTTACTTTCATTTAATTCTATTTGCCATTTTCAGAATTTGAGAATGTTGGACTTACCTCTCATGGCAAATACAGTTTTTGTATCTCATTTTTTATTTTCATTTTTCCCTATAAACCAGTACTGGGAAGGTGAACTAGTATGCAGATATTTCTGAGGATGGAAACACTAACTCTGAAACAAGGGGAAGGTTTAAACAAAAAGTAACATAATGAAAAGCAGGCTTTTAAGCCTTAAATTACTTATTTGTAAGGCTGTGTGTTGTGTGTGATGACATGGTGGTAGGTTGGGGATTGAGTGATTTGGGATTTTTTTTTGGTTGGTGGGGTGGGTTTTTTTTAGCTTTTTTGTTTTGTTAGGTACAAATACACTTCCAGTTTTCAGAGTATGCTAATGAAGTGTCAGGATAGGAGCTGCTTCAGGGGCCTTATAAACGTTGAAGACAGAGCAACAGTGTGTGAAGAGGGGAGGGAGTGAAACCTCCTCACTGTGGAATGTCTGACTTCACTCCAAGATCCCTAAAATGCTGCTTTAGGAACTAATCAGGAAGTATTCCTGGGCTTGCTTTGGCTGCTTGTGTTCAGTAGTATCTGTGCATTGCGTTGGCAACTTTACAATTGGTTGGTTTTGAACTTGCTGCTTATGCTTACAAAGCAGTTTTTTGGTACTCAGTAAATCAACTTATTGCTTTTTCTTGTACTTAATTTCCAGCAGCTGGCATGCAGCTTGCCCTTACTTATTTCAGAGCCTTGAGGTGTGATGCTTGCTTGACAGACCTTAACCAAAGGCTGTGTTAGTGTCTGTCCTGGCTTCTGATCTACTGTGAATAGTGATGTCTTTGATAGAAGTTCATAAAAAATAGGAAGATTCCCATATTTTAGCCTCCAGAGATGGTTTGCAGGATGTGTCTTAGGTGTGTGATTGATTCTGCTTGTAAGGGCTGTAAGGAATCCAGTTACTCTGCCACACCTGTAGCTCCCTAGCCAAGTAAAGTTAGAACCGTAGGCTTCAATGCTGCTTCCAGGAGAGAATGGGTGATGCTGAGGGGTTGGGCTTCAGCAAAAGTTGGGTTTACATGCTGCAATGCTGGCAGGGGGCTTGGAATTGCTTGGCTGATGTAGTTCTTTCAGGGGGGTGTGTGCCAGAAGACAACACTTAAAAGAAGCTGCTTCACTAATTTAAAATACCTCCATGACATGAAACTTGTGCAGTTTCTTTTGGTGACTGACTGAAGGGGTTAAAATTAGGTCAGGGCGAGTTTCTTGTTTAGATTTTAAAATAATCCTTAGCTGTACCTTGTGCCTTTATTCACCTAAGTCTATATTAAGTAGTTTGCTGGGAGCTCATCCATCTGCAAATGAAACTCAGCCTTTCTTTTTATACAGAACTTTAGATTTTTCCAGAGTTACTAATACTACAATAATTCTGTTTATTGTATGCTTCTGTTGCATTGACTTGGAATATAAAGTTTTTAATAAAGCAGTGCAAAATATTGCAATGTGTATGATGTAATTTTCTTTAAAATGCTAGTTAATTTTGTTATTAAAAAATACCACAACTGTCAGTGTTCAGTTCTAATAAGCTTGTCTTTTTTTGTTGCACAGATGCCACACAAGTCAAGATCTGCAGCTTCAGAATGCCTGGTTTTAGGCCAGGATATATTTTTATATTACTGTTATGTCAAGAACTGGCACTGGCACACACAGTTGCTCTAGTTTCAGTATTGACCTTAAGAGAAAGCATCAATATTATTCAGTCTTTCCTACATCATGGGGCTTAGAGAGTTTGTTTTGCCTTCCTGCAGTGCCCATCCTGCTGAGCAGCCAAGGAAGAATGTGTTCTCTCATATAGAGAGTCCTACAAACATCTGATAAAGAAACCAGAACAGTGTGGGCAGTTGCCCTTTTTTGTCAGGGCTGAAGCATCCTCCTTAGAGCAGCTTAAATCTGCACCACAGAGTAGATTTCCTCCTCAAAGGAGGAGTTAGAAATAATCTGAGTGGGAAGTGTTCTGTGGGGAACCTTGCACTGACAAGGACTGTGCCTTTTTTTGGTGCTCTTTAAGGCATTCTCTCTGTCTGACATCACCAGAGTGCAATGATGGTTGTGAGGCTTTGCTAATTATTCCATGGGAGTCACTTCCAAGTAAACTCAAATATCCAGAGCCCACTTTCTGCAAGGATTGCTGTGCTGCACTGTGCTCCAGTACTGCATTTGAATTGCATTCAGGAGCCCTGTGAAGTACTTTGTAGCAGAGATTGTTTCTAATGCACAGAAGGACCTTCTGCCTAATCTTTGCTGTACAAACTGTCCAGTCAGGATACACTGAGCCTGGAACTTGAAGGATCTAGCTAAGCCCTTCAAGAAGCAGGAAGGAAGTCAAGCAACCTTACAAATAATAGATTTGTTCATATTATGAAAGAAAAGAGCTGAATTTTCTTTATCCACAGTCTTGGTTATACATCATTACCCCAAGATCTCCTATTTACATTGGAGTTTCAAAGTTGTCAGAGAATGCAGATGAAACAAAGTGTGAGAATTTAAAATATATATTGCTCAGAAAAGCTGTTTTTTGTGACTGCTGCTATATAGTGAGAAACAAATTTTGGTTACTTCCTCTTGTAGCTGCATTTTCATAGTGACATATGTGGATAGAATCATTATTTTCTGTTGCATTTACATAGTGACTGTTGGGGGGGAAACACAGAGCCACTGGGTGTGTTTGTCCAATTTGCTGCAAAAATAAAACATAAATAGGCATTTGTGCCTCAATGATATTTTCTGTGATTGAAAGCAAAGATAACATTTTTTCTTTTTGTTTTTTTCCCACCTCTTTAGGACTTAGAGGAATTCTGCTTTAAGTTTTGTGTCAATCATTTGACAGAAGTGACACAAACTACAGCATTTTGGCAAATGGATGGTCCCCTGCTAAAGGAATTTATTGCTAAAGCCAGTAAATGTGGAGCCTTTAAGAACTGAAAGAATGAGGCCGTAAGTCGAGGTGTTTGTGGGGTTCTTTTTCCAGCTACAATGTAACTGTGTGGGTCCAGGCAAGTGTTTTGTGGTCTCTTCCACCACAGAACCTGAAAGGCCACAGTGAAAACAAATGTTTTCAGTGCTCAAGAGCGAACTGTTGTAAAAATGTGTCAAGCAAAACACTCACTTGCATTTAACAAACCTGGATGGTGGATCCAGCTCAAGGTTCAGGCAGAGAGGGAATGCTGCAGTGTGCAAAGGATTCCGGCCGGTGTTCCGGACTTGCCTTTCCAGCCTAGGAAATCTCCGTTCTAGCACCGCCTGCTCCTATCTCCAATTTACTGTCTGGGGTTGGAAAACAGTCTGGCCCGAGCCACTGAATGATGTCACTTAAATCATTAACTCCCTGGGATTATAGAGGAGCAAATGGCATGGTTGTCTCTTGCTGCATTTGCATGATTGTGAATGAATTGGCCATTTGCTGTGTGTAATTAACCAAGTGTATGCAGTGCTTCAAGTGTGCAAAAATGATGTCTCTTCAAAGCCTCTGCAAGTGACTTCGAAGAAAGGAGTTACTAGGAAAACTAATTTGAAGTAAATCTCTATATTTGGGTATATTTTAATATAAGTTGTAATGTGTACTTTGTGGAATCTGTTCAAGCAATATTTATAATGCTTAATGGAAATAATTCCACTCTCCAGTGACTTCAGATTATATTGGTTCCCTCAGAGGGGGAAGGGAAAGCTGGGTGGGATTTTGCTTTTAATTATTTTCTAAATTTAAACTACATGTAATAAAATTACTTTTTTGTACCTCTTCACTAGCAAACTTTGGATTTTGAAGAACATTGCAAGCTTTTTGTGTTACATACAGCATCTTAAGTTGCTTCATTTAAAAAACTTCATCAAAACAACAAAGGAAAACCCAAATAAACAACAAATAAAGCCAAAACCCAACTTACCCCATACAATGAATCTTGCTGATTTCACTGTGCCTGACAAAATACCTGTGCTCTTGATTTCAGAAGTTCACAGATTTCTTTGTAGGCACTAATTTTAGACCTCAGTGGTTCACTCTATGGATCTGACTTTTTATACTAAGTCATCCTTAAGTGGCTGTAACCCTTCTGAAGGTATGTATGGACCATCCTTATCATTCTTACTGTGTTTAATGACAGAGCTTGTTAATGCATTTTTGGTTTAGGTGGGTTTTTTTTCAGGCTGAGGGGCCCTCAAGTTCTGGCCATGGGCAGTAAACTGGTGATGTTTCTAGGCCTAGAAGGGCAGCAGACTTGAACTCTAAGCAATTAAAATGACTATTAATTTGTTAAATCAAGCACACCTTATTGTTCAAGAGCTCATTTTGAATGCTGTTAGTCTGTGCTTATCAATCCTCACCTTCCTACAGACCAAGCTCAAGTGAGGAATTCCAAGTGGTCATGGAGAGAGTACAGCTGTTGTGCCAGGATGTCACATGTGTCACACCAAGTGGTGTTTGCCAGTGTTCTGCTTGCCCCTCAGCAAGAGCATGGCTGACAGCATTCCCCCTTCCTGGCTGTGTCCTGTGCAGCAGCTTAGGGATGGGGAGCACAACTCCACACACAGCTCCTTTAAAAAATGTTTTATTTTATTAACTTAGCCTGTTGTGGCTTTTCTGTATTCAAGCAATATTTTAAAGACAAAACACATGAAAATTGAACCCTTTCTTAATGGAGAAGGGACGATCCAGTCACTGTTTTGCTCCATTTGACATTGTACTTGTTCTGAGTATAATGCCCAACCCTTTCTGGTCTGCCTGTAAACACTGCTTTACCACTGCCAGTATAGCAGAAACAGTGCCCCTGGACCAGTCAATAAAGAATAATTTGGCTTTTTAAATTAAACTCCTGTTTGTAATCCAGAAGACTTCTTTGAGTGCAAGTGCTGCTCCTTTATCTTTTCTGGGAAAGCCAAAGCAGCACTATGATCCTTCAAACATCACTGTCTAGACACAGACAGTGAGGCCCTACTGCCCAGCCAGGAGAGGGCTCCCACAGGTAAAGTGAATTTAGCAAGTGTTCTGTGGCAGCTGAACATGGCCCTGGCTTTGAGAAAAAAAGTCTTCCCTGGAGGGTTCTGTTGAGTTGTTGCAAAAGCTAAATTTAGTTAGTAACACTCATTTATATTCCATTGTGCAATATAAGTGGAAATTTATAGTGGAACCAGGGAAAAATTTGAAGAGGAACATTTGAACACTTGAAGGACTTTAAATTATTGCAACAGTGAGGTATAAAAATGAGTATAACAGCACATTCTTGCACCCATTCAGCCCTCATCTTCGGGCTGGGAAATTGGGCACCGACCAGACTGGTCTATGGTTTTTATCATTAAAAATCCTAACAATTGCACCATCACAGAGAGGGGTTATTCAGACACTGTACTGGATGTACTGGCCATGTTCTCTGGAGTAGGAAGGATGACTTCTTTTAAGTCCTGCAGCAGCTCAATCTTGTGATCCAGTCTTTTTCTGTTTTCCAGAAGTTTCTGGATTTTTTCTTCTGTTCCTATTATGAAAAAGGGATAAAAAGCTTTAATTATGAAGGAATGAAAAGATTTTATTATTATACATAATTATACATAAGTATTACTGATATAAAATACATTACATATTCATTAACTCTGCAGAGCTACCACTGCTTGGTTTAATCTACAATAAAGCCTTTGCCTTTCTGCAGCAATGCCTGTAACCCACCACCCTGCACAGCTGGTGTCCTCACAAAGAGCTGAACTCTGTGTCTGCAGAGAGCCTGGCTGGTGTGTCAGAGAAAGCACAGAGCAGGAGTCATGTCCTCTGCCATCCCGCTATAACAGAACTAGTTTTGAGATTAAATTTCAAACATCTCAGCATATGTAAAAATCACTAGTTTAGCTACTAATCCCCTGTGTTAACTGGCATATGAGTTTAAAGGTTCTGTTTTCAGAGCCTGTTTGTGTGAGAACTCCGCCAACAATGATTTTCAATCTTTAAAGATACCATTTCTGAATTACACTCCTAAAGCAAATTTACAAGCCTAATGGATTTTAGCCAACAACAAAATTAAACTTAAAACCAGATGGTTTGGACAACTGCATTCAAGAACTTGATTCTCAAAACCACAATTCAATAGCATTTATTCTCCTGCTTCTGGCACAATCATTATTGACAGTATCCTGATGGGATTACCCAAGTTGTTTACCTTATTTGCAAAGCCCTGCTTGACTGCATTTCTGCTTCCCTCTGCTGCTTCCATTTCCCTGATGTTAAAGATTATTGAAGTCAGTGAGAGCTCAGTAAGGAACCTGGCCAGTATTCAGAAGCATTACCACAACCTTACAGCGTTAATTCCAAATTTTCAATGAAGCACCTGCTTTGTTCAGTTAGCAGGACACACAGAGGTGTTGGTGACCTCTGAGCAGCAAGGCTGGTCTGTGAACAACAAACAACTTTCTCAGTGTGTGAGAATGTTGAGAGTTCAGATCCTGGTAAGAAGACATTTTGTACAAACTGAATGTATTTTTCTTCTTTTGGGGAAGATGATGTTGAAAAATGTCTCCAAAGTTCCAGTGAGGAGAGTGCAGAAACATCTCCAGATGTTTACCCTATGCCATTCAAAATAAAAAAGCCTTAAGTGATTTGAAAAAAAAAAAAAGAAAAGAAAAGAAAGGAAAGGACTTTGGCCTTTTGCCTCCCTGCTGCTTCTTCCTGCTTCTTCCTCTGAGTGAGAAAACACAGCACCTGCTGCCTGTGGGTGGATGTGGAAGGTGATGGACAGGGACACGTTTTTAAATCCATTACCCAAAGTTGGGTGTGGCTGCTGAAGATGGGCAGCCAGAGCACTGTTGGTGCCTGCTGGGAAATTCTGGTAGTGTCCACTGAAGAGGGACCTGGTGCCCCAGCCTAGCTCTGACTGGAGAGAAGGAGATGCCCCTTCCCTCTGCACTCAGGTGACACATGCCTGAAGAAATTTGACATGTACAAGTGGAACCAGGGGGAAAAGCCCTCTTAAGAGTGTATCTGGATATGAATTAATGATCAGAAATGAACAAAGCAGCTCAGCTGGTCAGAGCATGGTGCTAATAATGCCAATGGTTATGGGTTCAATCCCCATTATCCCCATACACGCCACTTAAGAGTTGGACTCAGTGATCCTTGCAGGTCCCTTCCAACTCAGAACACTCTGTGATCCTGTTGATTCAGCATTTGGGAGAGTTACAGATGGAACACCCACAGCTCAGTTTCTCTCCTGTCAAAAGGATGTGGCAGAAATAGAAATAGCCCAGAGAAGATGTCAGTGATGGGAATGACTGGCCTACAGCAATGCTTCCACAGGAAAGGAAGACAGGTAAGAGACTGAGAACCTTCCACCTCATAGAGGAAATGAGCTGAAGGGAAAGAAAATGTATTTCTGTAAAATCAGGAATGGCCTGAGGGATGTGGACCTGGAATGACTGCCCCAAGTGCTATGGGGCTCTCAGTGAAGGAACTGCACAACAGTTTTAAAATTAAGTATCACGGCCTTTGTCTCCATAACCTTTATCTGAATTGCAGAATTTGCTGCTACAAACCCCTGAAAACAAATGCTGTCAAGGAGCTCAAAAGCTTCTGACCAGACTGCTGACCAGCACAGAGGAGAGGAAAGCTGATGGAGGCATCCTGCCCAAGCAGGATGCACAACAGAACTGAAAACAAAACTAAAAGAAGTCACTTTCCCTTGGAGAAGAGGAAAAGAACCTCCAACCAAGAAATCTGAAACTGCTGCTGAGGCAACAGTATATCCTGTGTGGAAGGTTTTACATGCAGTTGAGTTTGCAGTAAAGCTGCACATTGCAAAAGGAGTGTGGATCCTTGTATATAAAAAGGGATTTTAAAAAGCCCTTTCACCAGTTACAGTTCAGAGTAGCCTTGCTGTGCTGGCATGTAAGGCTTTAGAACAGGATTTGCATGATGATTTAAGAAGTGACAAAAAGATTGAATTTAAAGCATGGCAGATGACCCAAAATCATCAGCCTGAAACACAGAATTTATACGAGTCCTACTTTATGTAGTCCTTGACTTAGTATGTCACCACAAAGCTAGTTAGAGCTTATAAGAGATTATGACAACAGTAACAATAAACAAAAAAAGAAGAAAAAATAGCAGCTGGTGATTTGCTTTCCACTCTACAGTTTCACTTGTAATTAGCATGGTTTTCATTTCTTTCTCACTGCTTCATTCTAAGAGCTCCTCTTGGATCAGTTGTGGAACCAACCTCATTATTATTGACCTTGAAATAAAAAGGTCTCAGAAAAGAAGATTGTGCGGTACAGGAAGAATTGAGCTGCTTGAGTTGTGGGGATTTGGAGAGGGGACAACTAGTACCCATGAGAATCACATGGTTGTGTGCAGGGGGGTGCCAATATCAAGAGATTTTCCTGTAAGCTGAGAAGAGGATGAAATAATTGATGCAGCAGTGAAAGAAACAAGTGTGATCCAAGGTTGTGTCACATGAGGAATTTCGAGCAGAGATGTTCTAATGTCCTCAGATGAGGCAGTGGTGGAACCCGTGTCAGACAACTGCAACACCGGACACTCCAACTGCTGAACAAGGAATTTAAGTGCAAGAACAGGAGACTGAAGGGAGGAGTGGCTTTTCCAGTCAAATGAAGGAGAAACAGCAAACATCATCTTCACATAACCAAACCTCAACATTAGCTAATTAAAACTCTTTCCACCAGAATAAATTAAAGCAAAAGTTAGACCAGCTGTTGGAGAGGGAAATGGGAAGCATGAGACCTGCCTGTCTGAAAACCACCTTCAGCCTTGTTGCTTCAAACAGCTGAGAATCCAAGCCCCACAGTTTCCTTCCACACCAGTACTCCCAAGTAACTGTTCCTGCCTTTGTTTGCATTTCACTCTGAACATTGTCATCTTGTTTTTCAAAGCACAATTGCCCCCTGGTCCAGGTGAGTTCTGCTGTCCTTTGGCTGCTGTGTTTCAGTGGAAAGCACTTGTCAGCCAGCAGCACAGCTGTAACACTGGCAAACTGCTGAAGGGAGGCTGTGGAGAAGGAACCCAAATAAACTGCAGGAAAGCAGAGTTCCCCTGGGGTGGAGACCCTTTGGCCTTCTAAAGCTGTGGAACTGTGAGTGGCTCCCTCCTTCAGGTCAGCCAGCCCCATGTGATATACTGTATTTCTAAAGATTCAGTTAGCCATGGCTTTTATTCAACTGTTCATATAACACTGAGAAAAACAGTTCCTTGGAATTTTCATTTTAAATTATTGTTCTATCAAAATTCTCATTAGAATAACTTCAATGCCAAATCCCAGACCAGCTGCTCCTCTGAGAGCTTTTCTGCACATACCTGAATAAATATTTGTCAATATGTTTTCAAACAGTCCACAGTCAAACAGTGCCATCACTGTCTCTTCATACTCTGGGGAAAGAGATAATTTGATGTAATACTACTGAGTAAAGGTTTACAGAGCCCTACATTAGAAGTACCACAAAACAGTAATTACTTATTTTCCATTATACTGACTGCTCAAGGTTTTAAGATGTCTTCCTTCTCATATAATCTATATTGAGAAAAAAGGATCAAGTTGTCAATTCTTTCTTTTTAGTTTCATACAGAAGATTATTCCTTTTTTGTGTCTGCACCACATGAACAGTGCATTTAAAGAAGAGCAATATACTTAAGTCATATTTGACTTCAGTGTGCCAGGACTGTGTGATGGCAGAGCTGACTGCACCAACTCCTCCTGACACATCAGCTGTGGGGCTGAGCTATCCCCATTTGCTGTTAAGAAATATCCAAGAATTACACCTCAATTTCATACCTGAGGTTTCTGCTGAAGCAAAATACAAAACACTCACAGAGTTCAACTGACACACCAGCTGCTCATGAAGGAAGACTTTCCAGGTGGGACATTTCACTTTCCATGCATGTGCTTCAGTTACTTTGCATAAAATAGCCTTCTTTATGCAAAGGTATTACTCCTAACTTTGCAAAACTGGGAGGGCAATTGGAGAGGAAAGTTCAAAACTTTCTTTAGCTGTGTTGTGGACAAAGCAACATTAGATTGGAATTCTTTAAAAACAAAGTACCTCATACAAGGTGATAAACCCATAAAAACCTGAAACAGACACTAACAGCTGCAGTACACTTGTAACAAATCATCCAAAGCCTTAAAAGGTACATACTTAGGGATTTTCACTCAGAAGAGAGTGCTGATATTAACAGACAGCTGGTACCTCTGTGAAGCTGCAAGAGCAACACGGGCTTATGACCTAAATAAAACCTGGCTCTCTTCAGGACCTCTCTGTTCCCCAGTTCCTGGGAGGAGAGGCTGAATTGAACCTTCCTATGCTTATATCAGCATGTAAAAGGTGGCTTCAAAAATTCAAGTCAGAAGGTCTCAGTGGAGATGCTGAGTTGGCAGCTCTTATGTAATTTTGAGAAAGAAGTTCCTTGGAACTTTCATTGTAAGTGGTCATTCAAAAGGGGAGGTAATTTTCAACCTCCTGCACAGCTGCAGAAATAAGGACTGAGTTATTTAGCACCATGCCATTCTCAGGAAGGTTGCCCAGGGCCAAGTGCCCAGGATTCAGATCTGCACCTCTACTCTGACAGCAGAGTCCCTGCCATGGGTCCCCCTGAAACATACCTGTTTCTGAAGTGTTGTCATCCATCAGCTTTTCCTGAGCCAGATGAAGTGTGTCCAGCATTTCTTCAAATATGTCATCCAGAAGCCCAGCTTGTTTGCACTTCCTAACAAAGTCTATCCGAACTGTTAAAACACAAAAGCATTCTCATACAGAAGTGATCTGTAAAGTGGGCTTTGCTCCCTCTCTTCTAACTAAAGCTTAAGCCAAACTAAAAACTAAGATTTAAGCCAAAGCCCTTCCACCAGTAACAAATAGTTTTGCAGATCTCTGGCTCCTCCAGCCACCCACACAGCCCTTTTAAGTGGGAACAAAAAAGTAGCCAGGCAAATGTAAGCACTGTGCTGGATGAAAAATTCCCTAAGCTCTAGATTTGGCTTCATTCATCACAAGCAAACAGCTCCACAGCTCTAAATGTTCCATTCCTAAAGCTCATGATACCCCCTAGTGATTTGTCTTGCTTGCAGCTTCACCAATCCTTAGGACTACACCATGGACTAAAGCTAAAGGTAAAGCTTGAAAACAGTGCAATAAATGAATCAGATTTGATAAAAATTGAGGCTACTTTTATTCCAAGTGATCCAGGCAACTAAAGTTTTTTATTACAGCCTATTTTATATACCGACTTTGTCAGATTTGGATTGATAGAGAAATAACCATTTTTTCTTTATCTCTGAGCAGCAGCAAGTTTTAGTAAGATCAATACAATGGGTTGTTCAAAAGCAAAGAGCCACTGGATGGCTCACAGAAGTGTGCCAGTCCCTGTTAAAAACAATGTTACATTTTACTGGAGACATTTGTGAGGAAATGCCTTCTCACTTACAGGAGATGCTCTAGGAGTATTCCAGGATTCTTTATAGGTTTCCTGTTCTTTACAGTGGTAATGCAATTCAAAAAAGACCACTAGGCAGCCACTTGCAATACCATGCACATACATTAAGCATATCCACAGTGAGGTGAATAATCACCATCTAGCACATTCCAAACTTCCAAGTGCCAGCAGCAGAATCCCAACAAGCAACTGCAGCAGGAGCTTCAGGGTAACATGAAAACTGCAGGATAGCTCCTGTGATGCATCTCACTGTTGTAACACCATATATATGCAGTGAAAGCCTATATTGTGTTAAGCACCCTGTGTACACCCAGGCTTCCAAAGGCAAGATGTGCTGCCCCCTACTCAGAGCACCTCCTCTGTTAATGCCTTCCAGGGTTCCCATTTCAGATTTAACTGTTCTGATATGGAGGAGCAACGTCAGGCAGAGGCACCCCTGCCTGCAGAAGACAGAGCTGAACACAGCAGCCAGAGGGGGGCATTCCCATCTGAATCACCAGCTCACATCACACAGCAAGTCTCACCACAGGCATTTGTTTGCTGCACAGTTATTAAAACATTCTGCAAATCAGGCTTCTGCTGCCACACCAGAGCACAGAGCACCACTTGTCTCAGGAGAATCATAAAAATACATTTGCAGCATAGAATTTGCTACCAGCCATCTCCAAGCTCTGCACTTGAACATAACAGATCACAGTACCTCCTAGTTGCTCCATGAAGTTGTTATCAAATGTCCAAAATATCAGAATAAGGCTCCTTAACACTGAAGTTAAAGAGAGCATCCTTTCTTCAGGCCCAAGGCTCTGCAGGGAATTCACCTAACCTTACATGGACACCGTGGCTCTACATTAAGTGTGTTGCTCATATACACTCCCTACATACACTTACAATTTATCCATTATCATAAATCCCACCCCAGGCTCCTAGAGAATAAGTCCTTTGTTCCATCTATCACTGCATTCTTGAGCCACATATCTTCTTGTCTTCCCTCTGTCCTTGCTGGAGGAGCAGCATTTGCATGCCTTGTTTCTCTGCTGGAAGTTTCACAGGCACAGTAAAAACTGAATTAACCCTTCTGGTATCCAATGAGTCTCACCTTTATGCCTGTTGTTTTTTCTTTTTAGTATTCGTAAACTGTTTTCTTCTGCTGTCTCTTCTGTACTCTGTAAGAAAATCAAAACAATGCATTTTTACATCATGCTGACATTTACTGCTGTTGTCATTATCATACTTGTGTCTTAGCAGAAAGATAAAAAGCAGTCCACATGTCTGTGAACACAGTCAGCTTCTCTGAGTGGCTAACAATATTCCTCTGCTGACATTCTATTTTGAAAATGGAAGCAAAAACTGCTTCAAAGCAAAAATGCCTTAAGAAAAGCCAAACACCTGGGACACTACCTTCCTTAACCACTGCATTTGCAAATAGCAGAGAAGTTAACAAATGTCTACTGGGAACTCCCAAGGCTCTTTCTGAACACTGTCAGAATGCTTTGATATGCAAGTCCTTTGCAGTAGCAGGTGTGGGTTTCCTGATTTAGTACTACTGAAATTCAGAATTACCATTTCTTCTGTGATGGTGGGAGACGTCAACGTACGTCTTCTTTTCTTATTAGCTGCATCTAGGAATCAATAAACAACAAAGTAACAAAAGTGACAACCTCAGACTGACCATCACGCATCATTTAAATTCCTTCTTTTCCCAAAAAACTAAGGAAGTAAGGCCCTTTGAGTGGCAAGGCAGCAATATGTTTCAGTTTCCCCAAAAACCTGACATTTCAGCAGAATTCACACTGTTTCCATTAAGGAAAATTGCAAGCATCAACCAACCATTAGGAAAAGTGCAAATCATTATAGCATTAGGATATCACTTAACCTTTTCAACTCAGTAGATTTTTAATTGTGGCAGAGTGAACTTATTCCTCCTGGCAGCAACATCACTTCTAGGTGGTAAAAAACAGTTTGGTTTAACAAACAATTCTTACATATGTTAATACACCCTCAAAACTAAGACTACATAAAGAATTACTTAGGTGTATCAAAGACATACAAATGGCATTAGAGTTTTCATCAACATAAGGACCCTCCCAGAAAACCTCCAGAAGGTTTGACTTGTCAGTTTACTATTTGACTGACAGTTTACTATTATTGTAATAATTTGATTTGTCAGTTTACTATTATTTATGCTACAAAGTGTTTGTAGTTGTGTGGTACAAGATCTCTGAAAAATTATCTCTGCTTTCACTGCATCCTTTCCATGAGCATGCACCAGACTCTTGCCAACATCACAACTGGCAGCTTTTGGAAACAGCTACAGTATCACAAGCAGAGAGGGATAGCTCTGGCAAGAAGACATGGCAGGAGCAGAGAAAGGCAGAGAAGAGTGCAACCACCCACCAAAACCTGAATGTTTAGTGTACAGTGGGGTTATACTTTCCCTTCCCTGTTTAATTCCAGAACCTCTGGGCAGTACTTAGTAAGGCCCTCCCTGTTAGAAATCGTCCTGTCAAGAGGAATGAGGAGCCATTGCTGTATACAGAGGCAGTGAAAACAAGTTTGGGCTTTGGGCACTGGTGCTGTACATTTGCATTTCTCATGGGCTGAAAGGAAATTGGTCTCTCACTTCATGCAAACCAAACCTGTAAGGCCAATTTCAGGGCAGTGTGGGAGATACTGCTGTAGGTACAAGTGTTCCTTGCTGTCCAGTGTGGTATTTTTGACACATGATGGGATTTTCTGAGCTCTCCCTGGTATCTGCTGTAAGGATGCCTTATACAAGAGGAACACAGTCTGAAGAGCAGCCCAGCTCCTCCTGCCCTGCACAGTGCTGGCTGCTCTCCTGCATTTGTCAGCCTTTACTCTGTCCACATCCAACTCTGCCAGTTAAACAGAGGTTGGAGCCTGTTTCCAAGTCCAAGCTGCTCTCACATCCTTGCTGCACAGAGCTGCAAGGAGAGTTCTTGACCCGTAAGGCACCTTTATCTCTTTCCAATCACACAGCAGAGCTCTGACATTCCAGCACAAGAATATTGTATGAACAAGAATAAGGGGATCTTCCTTGATCCCCTATTGCTCAGGGAACCAAGTGTCTTCTACTCAACTCTCCCACTTGCTCCCCACTTCCCAGGGTACAGCTACCCTCAGGAGGTGAGAGAAGCTCATTCAGGAGGCAGGGTAGACACTGCCAGTAGAATTCATTTACCCCTCAGAAACAGAAGGTCTCTAAATTAAGTCCACTAGAAGAACTCCTCTAGGAGAAAATTCTCAGGGAACATTGCATATGCAGCATTTGAAGACAAAAACCCCATCCAGTTTCTAAAGGGGGCTACAAGAAAGCCAGAAAATGACTTTGTACCAGAGCATGTAGTGACAGGACAAAGGGAGATGGCTTCAGACTGAAAGACAGCAGGCTTAGGTTAGATATAAAGAAATGCCATACTGAGAGGGTATTGACACTCTAGAACAGTTTGTCCAGAGAAGTTATGGATGCCCTGTCTCTGGAAATGTTCAAGGCCAGGCTGGATGGGGCTTTGAGAACCTGGTCTAGTGGAACATGTGCCTGCCCAAGGCAAGCAGGCTGGAACTAGATAGTCTTCAAAGTTCCTTCCAACCCAAATCATTTTGTGATTTAACTCTGTAAGACTTAAGTACTCCTGATGAACAAGGAGTGGTCTAGAGGGCTGGACCTAATGCCTGAATATTATCTGGTACTGGAAACAAAGCAATTCTGGGCCTGTCCAGTACTTGTACAGGAGATCACCTGGCACCCTGGGCAGCCCCAACAGACACTGACAACCATGAGACCACAGAAATCAAAATAATTTTGAAAAGGGAAGAAAGGTCAGGATTCAGAACTATGGGTAAATTAAAAGTGAAACTACTAAGTAAACTAAGAGGATGCATTTGGTGAGTGAACCACAGCAATATCAGATATTGAAAAGACTGTATGTCTGGCTAAAAAGTGAGCCAGGGGGGTTAGAAATTAATTTAGGGTAGAAATGAATTTCAGAGTCGGGACAGCTGTTTTAGATGATGTATGTTGCTTAACCTGCTCAGCTTGTAACTTGCTGTGCTGGCAAAGGCCTGCAAAGATGGAAAAAGGAATGCAGGGATTCTGATAAGAAGAGCTCATTACCCCAAACAAGGTGGAAGGAATGCAAGGCCTGTTGGAGATAAGAGGGGCTCTTCAGACCCTGCAGCTAGCTTCAGAGAGATCCCACATGTGCCCAGTGCTGAATAAATACATATCTACCTTCCAACTTTTACAAGTTGTGGAGTCTTTCTGCAAAGCCCTTGATGAATAAAAGCTTGAATTATAATCACCTAACCCATCTCTTCAGTGTCATCAGGGTGGAGCAAGACTCAGTTCAATTGAGGTCAAATTCAAAGTGAAGGCCACTCCAGGAGCCACTTCACTGTAAGCAGAGTTCTCTGCATTATGCTAACAATGTCCAGCTTTGGTTGGGATTTCCAAATACCTCTGAATCAGGAAGGGCCAGGACTGCCAAATGAAGCTGCATTTCTGCAGCACAGGAAGCAATCCCTAAACAAGGATTGTACAACCCTTTTGTTACACTTAAAAAGCTCTTGGGATCCTTCAGAATGAAAGGCCCTATTTTAAAAACTACTGCAGTGAATACAGAAGATGCAAATGTCAATGTCTGCATAAACACAGATAAAATCCCAAGGTGACTTATCCTGAAACAGTCTTTTCCTTACTTATCTAGTGCAAACTTGTGTGTGGCTCGCCTGTCTCACATGGGTTTTACAAGCTGCTTGAGCCTACTTGCCCAAAGAAGAGTAAGAATGATTCCATTAAGGATTGGGTCTATTGTGGTTTAAGTCAGTTTTCAAGGAGATTCGGGAAGGATTAAATTTTAACTTTTCCCACTTCAAAAAACTTTCCTTTTTGTGCATACATGTGGATCTTAACCAAACCACTCTTGCAAGATTAGAAATTACCACCTTGATACGAAGGTGGTAATATTTATCTTGTTCTTATGAATTACTGATTGTAGGATGCAAACTTTTAAAACAAATTAAATCAATGAAGTCAATAAAGAAACTCACCATAGCGATTGGTCCTATTCCCTGGGTCATGTTTTGGGCAGAACACTCTAAAATTTAAGTTCAATTTCAAGAAAAAGAGAAGAAGTATTAAAAAATATGCAAACAGAGTTATGTTGACCTATTTGAACATATATTTTCTCCTCTTTCCATCGAACATAAACTGAAAGACAGTTCAAAAAAGCCAGGATTTTTGTTCAGCATTACCCACCTCAAAAACCACCTGCTTTAAAGTCCCGTGCATGCACAACCTTGTGTCTGTACTCCTAAAGCCGCAGTGGATTCTCAGCACTGAAGCTCTGAATGATCAGCTCCATCAGCCCCCCTGTCTGGGCCTGCCCACTGCTCAGGCCCCAAGTCAGACACATTTCATGCGTGTGGCCATCACTGGGTCAGAGACACTGAAATGAGATTAATGCTCCCAAGGTGAAACACCACAGTCCTGACACTGCTCCATCACAGCAGCTCTGCCCCACACGGGCCAGGAGCCTCCTCAGACACATCTGCCCAGTGTCACCTTCCATTCCTCAGCCCTGCAGGATGCTGGCAGTGCCACATGGCACCACCATGCACTCACCTGCCTGGAGATCTCTGTGCCCCTCCCTCCCGCTGCCCTGTGCTCATGGAATGGCCCCCAAATCCCCAGTATGTGGGGCAACCCTGTGTGAGATCCAGTAGTTTAAAGCTGCTCAGTCCATTTGTTACTTAAACACTTCAGGAATATGTGAAATGGGAATATTTTCAGTGGTTCTAGGAGAGCAATCTGAATTCCTTGGAAGAGGCAAAATGAAACAAATTTATCTGAAAATATTCCTTATCTTTTGGATAATGTGCAGAGAACATGAACCAACTTTTATAATATGCCTTTCTTACAGAAGCATCCCAAGTCACTTCTTAAGCAAAAAAGCCTTGTCAGGAGGCATGGCAATTTTTAAAGGGAACTGCTTTTACTAGGACATTTTCTAATTATTGTCATACTGCCCTTAGAAATGCAGACTGTTGGCTTGATGAGGAACTTCTTTTGCCTGTAATGCATCTTGAAGCAGAACAAATCAGTTTTAGGTATGCCTAACAATGCCATCAGAAAGCTATATACTGGACACACCTTATTTACATCCCTGAATTTCTAATACTGCCCTTTGGAGAATGTTTTTTATTCTTCCCCTCCCTTTAGTTCTAGTCTTTCACAGTTAAAAACAACCCATCCTAAGCACAAGAACATCTTATAAAGTACAGACAGTGTATTTTACTACTCAGGCCACTTTATTTGGAAGCACTCCCCTACTATCATTTTTGCAAGACAGCAGTGCAAACTGTACTGATTTCTCCACCTCTACTCTTACTGGCCACTTCCACAGCACCATATACTTTCTCTTTTTATTCTGCTCCATTTGTTTTGATGATCACAACCCATCACCACAACGATGGCAACTCAGAATTTAAAGCCACCAGCTCTGCCTCTCTCGAAGGAATTCTCTCTTTTTGGTATGTTATATTTCACCATGAAAATGTGCAGGGGCTGTCAATCCACATCCACTGTTTTTCAAGTGTACTCTCCAATAATTTCAGCTAGCTCCAATTTTTGTGCTTTATTTACACCACTGCTACTGTGCAGGAGTCTTTAGGTTCAAATCCTTGAAAGCTGTCCTGCTATCCTTCTCTAATCTAATCCTTTCCCAACTCCTCAATACAGGTTGCTATAGCCTGGTTTCCTAGGCTATCAATGCTACACAGACACTCCTGAGTTCAGTCTTCTTGAGCCTGAGTTATCCTTTCTAAAGCTATAAGATGAAAGCCATTTATGCTGTGATCATAGAAAGTTTTCATCTTCCCAGTTACACTCTTTCATGAGCTTTGCAGATTGACGAAGATTTTACAGCTCTCATCCTCCCTGCACAGCTGGGCTTACAGCCTTGCACAGATGCATTCATTTTAGACAGAGTGTGCTGTGAACCAGCCAGGAGTGCGAGTCTTTTGACACAAAAGGACCCATCTTCCACCGCTACCAAGGACTGCACTAGTCCACCCCTTTCTGAAACAAGTAGTGATTAGATGATCCCCAAATCAATCTAAGTCTAACATGACCTGTGACCTCTCTGGCCTTGCACAGAAATCAGCATCAGGGCTTTTATGCACCTCAGACTTTACTATAACTTCAGCATTTCAAAAGGTCCCTGAAGCCCCAATTTTTCAACCTCTTAATCTGCATCCTCCAAATAATCGGTTTCATCTGTCAATGGCAATGCAGGCAGCCCAAAGGCAGTGGACACCAGGACTAGCATGATCAGGACAGAAAATTTATTTAGAACGCATTCAATCATGTTATTGCTAGCAACATACTTGACATACAAGGGCTTTGGTGGGAATCAAAGTTCTTTGCTAGCATGGGGTGGGAAAACTACCCAAATTTGACTAATGTGAGCAGACCTAGAAGTGCTATAACCTACTTTGTGCTCAGACCACGTTTACTGGAGCTTCTGAACCAACAAAAAATTTAGAATTTGAGTGACATTAATAAAAGTTTTGGTTCTTGAAGACTGGCTAGAGAGTCACAAAAGACTGACTTTCTCAGTTTTTTCCTTGTTATCTTTCAGTGATGTTACAGGCCCAAGCACCGAACAGATTCCCTCCCACTGCAGTAAAGTTTTCCTGAGAAATGAGAACGCTTCTCCCACAGTTTGCAAACAGAGGATCTCTTTAGGAGAGGGGAACTTACTTCCTTGCCTAAAAGCCCTTTAAGCCCCACCCAGTGAAGTCCCCCTTGCTGACCCCCCGAGGCTGGCAGTGGCAGTGGCAGGACACTGGGTGAGGTACCTGTAGACGCCGTTGACCTCGTCGGTCTCCACGGCGGCATCGTCGCAGAGGGCGCAGAAGAAGTGGTAGCTCCTGCGGCACGCGCGCTCCTCGCAGCCCACCGTGGCCCCCTTCTTGCGGCAGAAGTTGCACACCTGCAACAGGAGAGGGTTCGCCACGTAAATGCCACAGGCAGCTACTCCAAATCCTGCCAGAGAGGGCAAATGATGGTCTCTGTGGGAAAATCCAGTATTCCATTGCAAGTCACCTCTGTGTAATTCATCAGGCAAATTCACTCCTGCAAACGCCTACCTTGGTCATTACTGCAGCCACCTTTTTGCTATTTTACCTCTAATTCATACTGATCAATTTGTAAAATGAGGCAAAGAGCCATGTGAGGGCACTAGCAACTTTCCCAAGTTATTTCAACATTAACTTGTGTTAATATTTGTATTTATGTTTCCTAGGCTAACTTTGTAATGAAAAGAGTTCCACCCAGGACACTGGGGAGGAGGGCAGCTGAAGACAAAGCCAATTAAAAAAACCCTCCTTTAATCAATCATATTTCTGCTAAACTCAGAATGTGTTCCCCTTTACAACTGTGGATTGCATTCTTTTGTTTCAGGCACTGGCTTAGTTCTATACCAAAGTCTCAGGAAACTTCAACTAAGGACACAAAAGGCCAGGAAAAAACCCACCTGCATTTTAATACAGAATGAACTAAATTCCACCAAACCAAATGTTAAATCAATGACTCCAATGCTAAACCTGCAATTTCCCTAATCTTACTAGATCAGAAGGACCAGCTACTTGAATGGGTTTTATTAAAGCACAGAACAGGTTAGACAACCTTCAGCACTATGAGACAGGACTAACTGCAGACTCAGAAACATCTCCTTACCAGCCGCTTTCCTCTCCTGAGCTCCTTTAACACTGATGACACATCAAACCTTATTTCCAGATTTTCTGGGTTCTGATCTTCAGATTCCACAAATCCTGAGGAAAATAACTAAAGACAAAAGAGACAGTTATAAGAAATAAGAATGACTCAGTCATCAGTGCTGAAGAGAAACAAGGAATACATCTTTTCTTCTTGCACTTGCCCTACCTAAGAAGGCTGATTTTTCTGTGTGTTAACAAAAGGTTTCACCTACACTGAACAAGGAGCTAAGCTTAAGCATTTCTGCAATCAAAAGAAGTTCCCCCTTCCACACAGGAGATTTCACAAACCTGAAGGCAAACTAAGAAAAGATAATAAGGTGAGAAAGTTAACTTATTAAAAACATGATCAAAGAAAATGTGAAATTCCAGGTGCCCAGAGTAAGGATGAGATCTTCAGGCAAGAGACCTCCACACCTTGGACATCTTATTATTTGCTCAGCTGTTCAGACCTACACCTGGATGCAACATTTCTCTGTAATAAGATTTCCATACAGCCCAATGCTGACAACAGCTGACTGCAGGAAAAAAACAGAAACATTGTACATATCCTGGGAGAAACTCACTAAAAATGCATACATGCACACTCAGGCCATTTTAATTCCCATAGAACTGCTGAGCCATGACAGTGAGTGAGGAAGGGGAAGTTCTTGGCAAATATTTCCTAAGCATTACATGCAGCTAATTCCAAACAAAAGGGAGCTACCCTTTCATCAACTAGCAGGCACAGTCTGTCTGCTCAGAGGGTGATAGCTGACTGCAAAAAAACCCAACAGCACAAACAAGCCTAAGGCAGAGAAATGAGTAAAGTTGCTGGGAGGAGAAAGAAAGCAGAAAAAAAGAAAAAACAGAGAGAGGGAGAGAGAGAGAAGTTTTAACACTGGAGAAACATTAAAGCCATAATAAAACCTGTTTCAAACAAAACATTCAAGTGCGGTAAAACAACGCTGTTGTGAAACGTTCAGATAAAAAATAACCAGCCAAAAAAGATATCAGAAAAGTAAAGATGCAGACATAACAATTGTGAGAATAAGAATGCTGGGGCAGTGACAGCCAGAAAGCTGCTCTAGCAGCAATCTCTGACCCTAAACTGCCCTCAACTATATTCTCCCTCTGCTGAAGGGAGAATACAGCAGCTGTAATTGATTCTGCACTCCAAGAACCAGCTCCACCAACATTCCAGAATAAAGGGAAGGCAAGAAGAGTAGGAGGATTGCAACACATTTAAGAGCTTCACAGATATTTTTATATCATCAACTTCTGATATTTTTATTCCTTATTTTAAATTATTGACACACTGGAAAGTTTTTTAATCTTTAAGTAATATGGATATTTTCCTGCAAGGTTTTAAGTATACAACTTTGTGTAGTCTGAGAATCCTCATCCAAGAGGATGAGTCTCAACAGTGCCTCGAGAAGACCTATTCCTGTTGCTAGACCATATGTGGTCTTTGTGGTGTTTTCATGTGTGTCTGGGACCACTGCTCAGCAACAGACACATGAAAACACCACCAATCAACAGCTCCAGCTGTGCAGACACATCCTCTCCCACTCCAAAATCCTGGCCAAGCCCTGTTGCTTTTTAAGCTTTTCGTAATATAAACTTGCTGGTTTGAGTAACCAGCCTTTCAATCCATACATCATCGCAAAACCAAAAACAGATACGCAGTGGAAACTTTCCCCTTATCCCTTCAGCACTGACCAGCTAAAGGCACTCACCAGACAATCCTGATGAGCTGCAATATTTCTCTCTGTGGCAATATACATCACAGAGCCAGCCTCCCCTTCTGAACAAAATGCACATGTCGTTCTCACCATCTTCGCCATTATCCAGGAAGCACCTAGAGCAGGAAAACTGGGACAAAACACAAAGCAATTGAACAACTTCCATAGGCCAAGCAGGACAGAGGAAAGCAGAGCCTGCCAACACCTGCCCTCAAACTGCTCCTTCACCTACATCCCCTGACCCTGGGTGCTTTGCTCCTCCAGTAACAACTACCAGTAGAACAGCAAAAGCCTGCACCTGGCACAGCGGTGGGATGGAAACCAGATGCCAGGAGCTCCAGCAATTAGAGCGGGAGAAAGAGTGGTTTATCTCCTCTTGGAAAGTCACTAACAAGTCATAAGGGTTAATACAAGAGTTTCCAAGCTTGCTTGAAATATCTGCTCCAAAAACAGATCCAAGAGCAGCCTGGCAAGTCATGCTCTCAGGTGTGAAACTCCTTTTATTTGGAGGAGGGCAATCACTCATAGTGTTTCCTTAACCTATTGCTGCCAGATGTGGGTCTGCGAGTCAACAAAGGACAGAAAAACAGCTGCCCCCAAGCTTCACCAGTGCCTTCCAGGAGCTCACAGAAAACAAGGAAGAAATTCTAATTTATTGCTGTAAGAAGGATGTAGCAAAGTAGTGTGGAGAGGTCTACAAGTAAATTGGGGCACAAAAAAAAATCTTAAGTGAGAGATTCAAACATTCAAACATTTCCCTCAAAAGGGCAAAATGCTAACAGGAGTGACAGAATTTTCCCTGAGCCCTGGGAATTTTCCTAGGGACACTTGTTATCTTTTCTTGGCCATATACACTTAAGTCTTAATTGTTCTTCACATAGTCTTTCTCCAGCAGCTGCAACATTCTGAGGCCACCTACATACTTCACAAAAGCAGTCTAAGTGTTTCTGGACAAGCCTTTACACACATCCCCCACCAGCAGGTTAGAGCATCACCCCACAACATTTGTAGCAGAAATTTTACTTTGTGCTTTTTGTGCAAGTCCACCACAGAAATCTTCAACAACTTCCCACTCCTACAAGGTGTGATACTCCAAACTATCCTCTGCTGGAGACGTCACTCTGACAGCACAAACTCCTGTATGACAAGGGGGAAGAAAAATCTGTGTTTACTTTCAAGAAACAGGAAGATCTGAAGTTAAATTATTCTAGTGAGAGGTAGTAAGGTCCAAGCACAAAACAGGCAGGAAATGTCATAGTCCAACAAATCCTGCAACCTTTTTCCAAGTTTCAACAGACAAACTGTTTTCATTAGCTCCCATTCCCCTTGCATAAAACAGACTGGGTAGCCCCAAGTGAAAGCACCACCAGACTAGAAGAGCATTTTTTATGTTTTTTCCCCTTTGGCTCACACTTCTGACAATTTACTTGTAATCACAAGTCACTTTGCCTTTGCACACAGCTGGAGTTTTTTTCCCTCTTTCCTTCTATGAGTTGTAAGCAAGGCAGGGTAGAAACTGATTTCCAATACCCATCTATACACTGACCATCATACCAGTTTCAGAACCTGAGCAATCAATAAATACAACAGAAACAAACAGAAATACAAGGACATATTAGAACTAGAATAGAACAGAAAGAAATTCAAAAGAAGAATGAGCTAGAGTTTGAATGGCCTAGAACACAGGAAAAGCTCTCTGCAGCAAACCAATACCTGGATTCAATGCAGACACCTAGTGCCTGCTCAGGCCCAGTCAGAGGATCCAGCTCTAGGAATTTTTTAAGGAAGGGGCTAAACGTGGACTCTACAGTCCCTGGTGTTCTTACAGGCTCCAGAGAAATCCTGGTGCTGATGGAGGACAGAAGACACTTGATCATGGTCAGCCTTGGGCTTATTCCAGCATCTTTCTAGGAATCCTGAAACAGTGGAAATTCAGCTCTTGGCCATTCCTCTATGCAGAAGCAGCCAGCCTGCACCTACAGCCCTGTTTAGCCCTGTATCCTGTCCGTCTGTGATGGGTTGGCCCTGGCTGGATGCCAGGAACTCCCCTGAGCCATGCTATCACTCCCCTCCACAACTGGATGGGGAGAGAAAATATAACAAAGGGTTCATGGGCTAAGGACAGGGAGAGATCCCTCACCAAATGCCATCACAGGCAAAGCAGACTCAGCTTGGGGATAATTAACTAAATTTATTACTAACAAAATCAGAGCAGGATAATAAGAAGTAAAATAGATTTTAAAACCACCTTGCCCTGACCCCTCCTTTCTTTCCAAACTCTACCTCCTTCCCCCAAGAGGCACAGGGAGATGGAGAATGGGGGTTATGGTCAGTCCATCACTCATTGTTCCTGCCACACACAAGGAGAGTCCTTCCCCTGCCCCAGTGTGGGGTCCCTCTCAATGGAGACAGTCCTCCACAAACACCTCTGTGAGTCCCTCCCATGAACAACAGCTCTCCCTGAACTGCTCCAACACAGGTCACTCTCCCATGGGGTGAAGTCCCTCAGGCACAGCCTGCTCCAGTGCTGCTCTCCGCAAGGGTCACAAGTTCTACCAGGACCCTGCTCCAGCATGGGCCTCCCATGGGGTCACAGCCTCTCTCAGGCACCCACCTCCTCCCAGGCTGTGCATGGATCTCTGAATCCCCATGGACCTCCCTGGGCTGCAGGGGACATCCTGCATCACCATGGTCTGCACCAGGGGCTGCAGGGGAATCTCAGCTCTGGCACCTGGAGCCCTCCTGCCCCTCATGGTCCACTGACCCTGGTGTCTGCAGAGTTGCTCCTTTCACATAGTCCCACTCCATTCCTCTCTGCCCACAATTATATCTGCCCAGTAACTTTTTTTCTTTCCTTCTTAAATATGTTACCACAGAGGTGTTACTATCATTCCTGCTGGGCTCAGCCTTGGGAGCAGAGGGTCAGTCCTGGAGCTGAGTGGCATTGGCTCTGCTGCACGCGGGGGAAGTTTCCAGCAGCTTCTCACAGAAGGCACCCCTGTAGCCCTCCTGCTACCCAAACCTGGCTGTGCAAACCCAACAAACCCCCACAGGAGCCCGTGCTCTTCCTGAGCTTTCTGCTACAGTACTACCAGGAAGAGGACATGGAGCTAAACGGGGCAATGGAGCTGGCTGGCTGCTCCTACGCAAGAAGGGAGAGGCTAAGGGCAGGTTTCCAGTTTCACAGTTTAGTTACATTTCATCTGAGCAACGCCTTGCTTTTGGAGGGCTTAAGCCTGCCACTCAGGGATTCCAGTTGAAGCACTTGGATCTGTCTGAAAAGGCAACAAATCCTTGCTCCTCGCCCGACTCTTTCAGTAGCACTCATGACAGCATTGCTCTGTTACTATTTCTCCTGCTGTATCTTTTTAAAGCCAAGGAATCTGAAACTATTTAGCTCTTCTCTGTACAGAAGCTTGTCTGCATTTTTTCCACCTCTGTCACTTCTATACTCTTCTGGCTACACTCAAAGAGGAGCACACCACCTCCAAAAGGATGGGCTACCATTTACACTACAAAGCCACAGTATCACTCTGTATTTTCCTACTTTCCTTAACAATTCTCACTATTTCAATCACATTTTAGCCTGCTTCTGAGCGCAGAGCTGACACTTCCAAAGAACTACTGTTGGAAGCATAAAGCAGTGAAAAAACCACGAAGCTCAACAAGCAAGGGGGCCCACGGTGATCAGAGCAGACAAAACTGGGTGGAGGGCTGGTGGTTTGTACTGCCACGGGTCTGGAGAGGAATGTGAGGCAGTGTGGAGCCCTGTGGCCTTGTTCTTTCCCTTGCTTACCAAGAAATGTTCTGCACCAAACTGCACCTCCAGGGTATTCTGTGCAATGTGACCACAAACAATGGAAGGTACAAAAGTACCCTGATTTGTACCTAACTGGAGGGGGAGAATTCAAGACAGAAATCATAGGGACAGATCCATGGGTTTGTCCTCCTGTCCCCACAGAAGGGACACCTTTCAGTGAGAGTCACATACTTGTCAGTTGGTTGGGTTAAGTTAGGTAGGGAAAGACCTCTGAGATCATCAAGTCCAAACAATGACCCAACACCCCCCTGTCAACCCCAGACCAGTATCACAGTTCCCCAGATCTCCTTAAGTAGCATCAGATTAAGCAGGGAGGGCATCAGTGTCATGGTTGTTTCTCTGCCACATCCATCATCTTCCACTTATCAATGCTGGATTTTCACCTGCTGTTTTATAGTTAATCCCTTGCTGTCCCTAAATCCTTCTGCAACCCTTTGCTTCCACTGTCACCACTACAGGGAACCCAGGCAGCCCAGGGGCTCCTGCTGCCCTCCGCTCATGACGGGACAAACGACACTGCAAAACAGAAGGCAGAGCAGCAGCTGAGAGAACAGTCACACCTGGACACTCCTCCTGTGCCATCTCCTAGAAGGAGAGCTGCTGGTTACGCTTCTTCATTTTTTCACAACAGTGACTAAAGGGAAGGAAACGGGAAAGGAAACAGAAAGTAAAAAGGGAGAAGAACAGTGCTGGCAAGAGTCCAGGGCTTGTAACACTATCAAATTCAGCAATCCTGCTGAAACATTACCAGTTTGTCTAAGTATTTGCTCTCCAGACCCAGTTCTGAAAGCATTCTTGTATGTAAATACCCATATTTTACACAGGAGGAGGCTAAGACACAGAATCTCTTAGTACATCCACAGGGGAGTAAGGAAAAGAACCCAAGTCCCCTGAATTCCGGCGCACTATTGAAACCCACTGCCCCAGCTCCTGCTCAGCTCTCCTCTTCCTTCCAGCGCAGTGCAGGATTGGATCTACGGGAGCAGGAAGAAAGAAAGAAAGGAATCACACACCCATTACCCCACACTCACTGTCCCTCATTTGTGCTTTGTGGGGAAAGAAGCACGGCTGGAGATTTCACAGCTAAACACCACCGACACTCATCTCCCCATTCTCCCCGCCAGTACAGAACAAACACACCCAGATTTCGCAAGGAAGAAGAAGGAACAAACAAAGCTGTCTTTCTGATCACCTCTCACTTGAGACCATCTCGTTCCAGCCCCCTGCCATGGGCAGGGCACCTTTCGCTGGACTTCGCTGCTCAGAGCCTCATCCAGCCCGGCCTTGAACACCGCCAGAGGCCAGATTACCACAGCTTTTCTGGGGAACCCGTGCCGGTGCCTCACCACTCTCACCACCAAAGAACTTCTTCCCGGTACCTCCCGGGCCCCCCGGGGCCGCCCTCACGGAGCTCCCGGTGCCGCCTCACGGCGCCCCCGCCCAGCCCGAGCCCCGGCAGGGTCCACTCGCTGGCACTGCGGGGAGAGCGGGGCTGCGGGACCGCCGCTGAGGAGGTTCCGCGCTCCCCCCGCCCGCGGTGGCACTTACCGCCCGCTCGCGGCCCGAGTCGCGCGAGCCGTCACAGACACCACCACCGCCCCCTCCCCCGCCCTCAACTCTCCCGCGCGGAAGTGAGAGCGTCCGGCCGGGGCACGGAGCATGCGCGGTGGCGCCCGCCGATGCTCCGCCCCGCACACCTGCGCGGCGCTGATTGGCAGCGGCCCTGGCGTGGCTGGCGGGAAGGCGCGCCGCTGAGGCGCCGGTCACGTGATAAGGGAGGCGTGGCCGCGCCACCCGCGGGCGCGCCGGGGTCACGGCCCGGTACCGGGGTTCGATACCCGTGCCCGGCACCACCGCCGGGCTGCCGTCGGGCAGCCAATCCCGAGGGCTTTCACCGTGGAAAAGGCGATATCCTGCATCCCTCCCTAGCCTCGTGCTCACTTTTCACAGAATCACAAAACTGCTGTCCAACCTGAGCCTCCCCGGGTGCAGCTTCCTGTCACTTGTTGCCAGGGGGAAGATGCCGACCCCACGCTGCCTACGCCTTCGTTTCAGGCAGTTCTGTAGAGGGGTAGTGTGAAAAGTGTCTATTACCTGGCTCTACGCAGATATTTACTATATGTATTATGTTGTATTGATTAGTGCTGTATTAACATTTTAGTGGTATGGTAAATGTAGTTTTGTAGTTAAAATGTAGCTTTTGTGGTTAAAACAGAAACTATGTACGTGGGATATTTTTTTAAAGAGAGGAATGAAGTACTCGCACCGAGATAGCAGCCACAGGACACCTAAATCTTTCAGAGAAAAAGAGTTTATTGCTCCCTTATCAGAAGAAATGAACTTCTTCCTGCCTCAATCAGCCCTTAAGACGCCTCAGGATTAAGAGGAAGAAGTTGACACTGACCAGACAGAATCCTGTGTTTGAATGGAATTTCTGCATCATGTATGAGATGTATGAATATGCAAAAGGCTATTGCTTTTAAGAGTTAATCCTCTGTTAACGTGTGTTCTTTTTTGGGCTTATTTTGCCCAGAAAAAGGTACCCGGACGTCCATAACTCTTTGTTCTTATTGTCTTGTATTGTCCTAATCCTAATTGTCCAAATTTTTATTACTCTAATTTCATTACTATTTTTATAACCATTTTATTACTATTAAACTTTTAAAATTTTAAAAACAAGTGATTGGCGTTTTTCACAGGAAGGGTCACCCAGGAGCCTCCTTTTCTCCAGACTAAACTCCCCCAGCTTCCTCAGCAGCTCCACACAGGATGTGTGCTCCTGAGCTTTCCCCAGCTCTGCTGGCCTTGTCTGGACACGCTCCAGCCCCTCCACGTCCTTCCTGATGTGATAAATGAATATGATTCATGCTAAAAATTGTAACTATATCAATATTTCAGAAAATATTTGTTAAAAAGTTATAGAGGAAAAGGATATGCAATTAGTGTCACAAAACAAATGTTTTCAGATGTTCATGAGAAAATAGAATACAGAGTATTGAGATAAGCAATATCCCAAAATGGATCCCAGCCTCGGGATAATTAAGGGATCAGCCTTGAAATGGAAAAAATTGGGGTGATTCCAGGTATCTATGAAATAGTAAGGCTTATTTTTGGAATGTAACGCTGGCTTCTATAACACAAGACTTGGGGTGCATTTGCAGCCTGTGGGGTTGTTCAAAGGACAGTGATGATGATGAGAAGCCTTCATCAGAAGCAACCACGAAAGAGCAAAGACCTCTTAGAAACAAGTGGAGCATGCGCTGTGCAGTATAGGGACATAGATTTCAAGAATCAAAAATAGGAGGAGATTTACAGGAAAATATTGATGAATACGTATTAGCATACAGTATCTAAGTTGTGTTTGGATTCCTTTATTTTTTTGGTAGAAGAGGCAGGGTGAGAAACCCCGGTTGGGTCTGTACCATTGTCTGTTTTGCTTATGCCTTATCAGAACCTTAATCAGACTTAAATAATCACTGCCAAATTTACTTTGTACATGCTTACCTGATTATATTCATTTTATATGAAATTGCTGCTAAATTCTAATTTTGTGGTTTATTAAATTAGACATATAGGACCTCATTCATAACACTGATTTTAGGGGCTCAAAACTGAACACGGGATTTGAAGTGTGGCCTTACCAGGGTCAAGTACAGGGGTACAATCACTGCCCTGGTCCTGCTGGCCACACTTGCTGATACAGGTGTGAGAAATGAACCCCACTTTTCAAAATTTTAAAAAGCTTAATAAGAGATAAAAGGGACAAATCAATACCAGCGGTGGGTGCTTGGCTATGGCCAGAGGCACATCAGCTAACCATAGTAACTATTCTTACATGCTTTCCCTATTGCATTGGCCAAATACATATTCATAAAGATTATACATGTTCAAACATTTCTTTGAACTTGTTTACATGTTCTGGGAATTCTTTAGCTTGGGACCCCTGACCCACCTATTTAGAGTACATGCAGTAATTGTGGATGTGGTTTTGAAGGCTGTGTGTCACTTCCTCACAACGGCCCCTGTTCTGGGCTTTCAGCAGGTGAGAGTTATTGATAGTTGAAGGGTCAGTAGCAGGAATCCTCATCCCATCCATTCCTCAAATGTTATCTGGCCATGCAGACAGTTTTAGCTGTTTCCACAAGTACTTTAAATCAACATGAGCTATTTCACAAATATATCTGAGTTATTCTCATTATTGTCAGTTAGTTACAAAAATAAAAGTATTAGTTATTATTTAACAACTATAGCTACTTCTGCAAAAGCTAACACTGTAATGCACAACACAGCATCCACTTGAATAATCTACAAAAGCCAATACATAATTAGTGAAAGCCAACAACTACATGGTTACCTTTATGGTATTCTCCATATGGTATTCTCCATTATGGTATTCTCCACTTCTCTAAGTCTAGAAGTGGCATTAGAAGGCCACCCTGGACTGCCTCCCTGATGGACCCTTGGAGACTGTAGCTGCGGATTTATGCAGTGCTGTGACAACCTGAGGTGGAGTTGTAAACAGGCCCTGAGAAATGTGCAAAGTCATTTGGCAGAGAAATACAATTGCAACATGATAAAGGATGCTTGCTAAAGAACTGGGTGTGCTTTTGGCTGTTGCCACACACACAGTGTTGTTACTTTTGCTTTGTTGATCTGTCCCCCAACATCCCTTATTAAACTATTAAAATTTGGAGGAGTGGGCTTCGTTTCTCACACAGGCCAGGATGCCACTGGCCTTCTTGGCCACCTGGGCACACTCATGTTTAGCTGCTGTCTCCCAACACCCCCAGATCCTTTTCTGCTGGGCATCCTTCCAGACACTCTTCCCCCAGCCTGTAGGGCTGCCTGGGGTTGCTGTGACCCAAGTGCAGGACCTGGCACTTGGTCTTGTTGAACTTTCTCCAGCAAGCTCATCAGCCACATTAATAGGCATATTCTGGCCCATCAGGTGTCAGAACCCAGGACATTCCTCTGGCTGCCCTGGGTGATTCGAGACCCTGGCAAGGGACTCAGAGACCTTGGCACAGAGTCTCAAAAACACCTGTGCCTTCCATTTTAGCCCATGGAAAGAATTATCACTTAGTGTGAAGATTTACTAGCCACAAGAGTTTGAGTAGAATGATAGTTAATTTGTCACAGGGTGAAAAAGTAGAATTTTGGGGATTTAGAATGGGGGTTCAAGAGGCAAGATGGAGGAATCTGGGCATGTCCTGTCCTTCTTCTTGTCCTCCATCTTCTGCTGCGATGGTGACACTTTTTGATTGGTTTAGAATAGAGACAGACTGTCTAACATAGGTGATAGGTACTGGAAAATTATTGTAAATAAAGTACATGTAGTTCTTAGTATAAAGTACATGTAGTTTTTAGTAGAAAAAGTTAACACCACCTCAAGGGCAGTCGCTGTGCCACAACCCAATCTGCTGGACACATCTCCGCAGGTCAGAGAAAGAATGTAATAGATAAGGAAAAATAAACAACCTTGAAAAGCAGAATGGACAAATCTCAACTTCTTCTTCGGTCGTGGGGCTGGGAAAAAAGAGACTTTCTAATACCTCGGGGGTCATCTCATCTTGGGGGTCACCACAGAAACCCAAGCATCATTAAGCTGCACCAAACACAACATGGAGCTGTTAAGATCTGTTCCCTTTACCAGCTAGATCAGCTTTGGCTTTTCAGCACAGCACTCCAGTTGGTTTCCCAAACTCCTTTGCACCTGCCCAGACGCAGCCTAGCGGAGCTAAGATCAACCCCTGTGTCCAGGCTTGCAATTAGATTATATCTATTAACCAAATACTGCTACACAATTCCAATTCCCAGATCTATTACCTAGATTATACTCAAATGAGTTAATGTGATTCAAGCACCCACAGGTGCATAAATCTTAAACTAGTAAAATCTTCCTAACAGAAATTGTTCTTCAACACAGGAAAAATTCTCTGTGGAGAATTCCAAAAAAAGTCCAAAACCCTTGTGAGCTCTTCCTTCAAACTGTTGTGCTATCAAGCCATATAGTTCTGTGAAAGAGCTGGAAATTAATGCTCAGTGCTTTTTTGGCAAAAAAAAAAGAAATAAGTTAATAAGCTCCAGTCCAGTTCCTTTTATACTTACGCTGTAAGCTTCAGCTGTCTTTGCACTTGTATGCCTATCTTGGGTACTAATACTTATTACCATGGAGCCCTTATACATCCTCATATCCCTACTGTCCCTCCATAGGGACCATCTTGCTCACTGTAAGAGCTGTGATTCACATCTCAATGCAACTTATTCCCATCAGGCACTCTTCATTTATGATGCCCCCGACAGGCTGATGAGAAGTCCCAAATGTGTCATTCCACAGGTGCTTTGAGTACTTCACTTGGAATATCTTCATCTGTTTTTCCATCGGTGCTTGTGCTCGGTGCTTCTACACACTGCTCTGCTAAAGCATGGGTGACATGAGGGGCTGTGCTCAGAAATATCCTCATCTGTGAGCTGTGACAAGCAGAGGAACAGTCAGCAGAGCAGAGAGAGCTCAGGTGAGCATTCCTGTGGTCACTACCTGCAGAGGATACTTGCAGGACACCCCCAGCAGAACATGTTCTAGCAATACTACAGAAGCAGGCAGAAATCACACCTTTTAAGGTGATTTTGCTCATGGATAGTTATGATCTCTGGTCTGGAGGAGGACAATGAAGAAGCACCTGCCAGGAGACAGACCTGATAAAACCAGCTAGCCAAAAAAGTCCTGTCTCATACACAGGCCTTCTGTGACATCTACACTCACAGCAGGCTCTCCCATAGCTGCACACCACATGGAGCAACTAAGAGCTGCCTCTTTTAAATCATCAGGTCTGCTTTCCTGCATTAAGAAACAGGGCTCTTCCTCACCAGCCCAGTATCATTAATTCCTACCACTGATCTGGAATATATCATCAACAGCAGTAAAATGTACCTTCTTCCACTCCCCACTCCTGAAGCTTTAAAAACATTCCTGAAGCATTTAAAAAACATGTTTTACATAGACACAGAATGTTTTCTGCATTTTCATTTGTTTAGAAGGCTAATACCACTCCTGAGTTATCTGTTGGGTTTTGTCATACACATTGGCATGTCTCTGGTTAATGATGAAAAGATGATCCCCCAAGGCATATTCCCTCTGAGTACAGACCTTCAGATCTTCAATGAAGCAAAAAGCAGCTGGGCTGAGTTCTGTCTACAGCTCACACAGGGGCTGCAGTGACAGAGGGGCTGATCAGGGCAAGAGTGGGTGGCTCTGACCTTCTGAAGAGGTACTGCACCAACAGTGGGGTAGCTCTGCTCTTCCGCATTTATCCCTGAAGATGGGTGGTGAAAGCCCATTGCACAAACCCAGAGTGCAATGACAGGGACCAAAGCTGAAGAGAGGTTTGCTTGCTGGATGTGTGAAACTCTCAAACAGAGTTGAGAGAGAGAAGATCTGAGGTTTCACAGTAAGCAGAATGGTTCACAAGTCTGTTATCTCTTTGAAAGGTCCACTTTTAACAGGCTGAAACTCCTTATGCATGATCAAACTTGAAAAATCCAAAAGCATCATGTGTTGCAATACAACCCCATGACTTTTAAGCTTGAAGCATACAAAACAAACAAACAAAAAAACCCACTTAGGGCCACAGATACCATGTTTGTCCACAGTTATACAGCACAGATACAATCCAATTAAAACAGAACCCTAAGCCATGAGTGCATTAGACATCCACTGCCTCTTGGCCTCAGGGCTGAGAACTGGCTCCTGCTTATCTTTCATTTTGCAGTATGGGCTTGGACATAACCAGGCCATGACCTTCATTTGTTCCAACCATTTCTCTGAAAACCCCACAGGAGCAGAGTGACATGGTGAGCACTGAGTCATATGGACTGGAATCTGGGATACCAACCATGCAATTAACACATGAATAGTGGTGGTTTTTCCAAGACTCATTTATCAAGGAAAAAAAAAAAGGTGCAGGTACAAGACTCTCATGTTTACCTTCTCCAACAAAGGTAACGTGACTTCAAGCCAACCACTTTATTTCATAAATGACAGCCTGAGTGAACCTTTATTTTTAGCTCATGCTAATCAGCTGGCTGTATGGCAGTGATTTCCCTGTGAGCTAGGATGCTCTCAGTTACTCCCCGAGGCTGAGACACACCTGATCAGCTGCAGGTTTCTAGTAAGTGACCTATGTCACACAGTCTTGTACTATAGTGCCACTGGATTTTCTATTGGTAACTTTAAATCATTATCATATTCTCTGCAGTAACAGAGTAAACTTTGTTATCAAACTTCTTAAGTCTTACTTTTACAACATTTCTAATAAAACCACTTTTTTTGAAACCTTTGGCAGTGGTTTTTCAAGCATCTAAATTACTCATCTGCGCCACCTCCCTGCTTGCCCAAGGCTCCAACACATTCAAAAGCCACACACCTGCACAGCCATCCCTTGCTCCAATTCAGAGCCACCTCCTGCATCTGCACTCCATGTCTCCTAATGTAGCTTGTTTCTCTCTTACCAACAAACCCTGTGGTAAGCAATTCTGTGGCCCCCCTGTCCCCTACACAATATGGCACTGAGATGAGGTACACTGGATTTCTCAAGGATTTGTGTATGTCACAAATGTGGAGAGGGGTGCAATCCAACAAAACCCAGTCATTTCTCTCCTGCTGCAGCAGGACTTGTCCAGCTCATTTGTAGCACAAACACAGCTCTGCAGAACTGTTCTGTTTAATTCTCTGTTCAGGACAATCTGTCCCACGGGATGCAACAGGCTTAGGTGTATTTGAACAATTCCTAGTGCCCAGACAGGTAGTCTTGCATTCATAATGAATTTCAGAAACCTGAGTTTTGCTAACTCAGCACTGTGGAGGGGCACAGAAAGCACCAAGGAACTGCTGCTCTCATCAGTTGTGTCTCTGCTGCAGATGGAATGGAGCAGGAATTCTTCCAGTGCACTATGAACTTTGCTTGTGGATTAGAAGCAGGGAGGAGGAAGACCAATTACCCAGGAAAGGCTTGATGCCTGTTCTTAAGAGAAACAGTTCTATTTCTGTAAACTACAAAAGTGACATTTAAACGTAAATTTAAAAAATCATCAGGTGAAAGGCATTTTAGTTGAATGCAATTAGCACCACGGACTTGAGGGCTGTTTGCTGAGTAGTCATCCCTTCCAGCATATAAATTCCTAGGTACAAGATGCGTTGACAGTAGGAAAGCTTTTGCCTATAAGGTTTTTTTCCTGCACTTCTGAACTCCACAGTGACAGGAAATTTCTGTCTCTGGCATGCTTCCAGCTTCATAACCATAATCCCAGGTGAGTTCGGTTCCAGCTTTTACATGTCTAAGGAATAAAATAGTTAATTTGCTTGGACTAAGTGAAACAGTACTGTGCTAACAATTTGTCACCAACAACACACATGCAAACCCCAAAATTGTAGGGGGCAGGGAGCATCACACAGGCAGCTTGGGATGGGAAGGAAACAAGGCAGACAAGGAGTTGTTGGCACACTCATGCTCCTTTGGCTATGGAAATTACAAATAGGGTTGGAGTCTATTGTCTAAAGAATGTGCTCTAACCTAGAGGGAAATTCTGGGAGACAAAAATCAAACAAAAAAACCCACTACAAAGCCAAAGCCAACCAAACAAAAAAACCAAAACAACAATCAAACAAAAAATCAAAATCAAAAAAACAAAACAAAAACCACCAAAAGAAAAACCCAAAACCCCTTAAATCAAACCAAACCAAACCAAACCAAACCAAACCAAACCAAACCAGGAAATCCATGTAAGTGATACATCTAAATGAATAACACAGTTTTCAGTTTTGTTATTTTTCTTATGTACAGTGCATCACTGAAGTTTGAACAGATCTTTAGCTATATTGTTGAAGACTGTCATCTTTGGTCTGGCAGGCTACCTTTTAATGCAATTGCACTATTTACATCAAGCCCAAAACTCGGAATTAAACACGTGCTCCTCATGAACCAGCTGCTCTGGTAGTAAAATAGAAGAAATATCTAAGGCAAGAAATTCATTGTCCAGAATGAATGCCAAACTAAATACCTGAGATTACGATGCTGAGGAACAATTGATGGAAAATGTAAGAAAATATTAATATTGTGATGAAGAGAGTAATTCTCTGATGTTTCTCACTGGATATGGTATAGAGGACATCCAGTGAATTCCTAGGCAGCTGACTGAGAACAAACAATGAGGACTTTTCATACAGCACATAATTGCAGCCTGGAACTTGCTGACTTGAGATGGTCTAGAGGCACACAATTAAGCTCAATGATCCAGAGGAAGTGCTCAATTTAGAAAAGTTGTAAAAGAGTGATGCCTTTTACAAAAAGGCAAGGAAATGGAAGAGCCAGTGAGGGGAACTCTCCTTCAACAATCTTCTTCCCTAAGTGCCTTTGCTGGTCACTATTATCTCTCTCGAGTGGCCTCAGCCCTCACTACACTTCTTTACCAAGTACCTGAGCAAGAAAGACTCTAGCTAAAACAAAATCCTTTTTTGGATGTATTTCAAAACATTGTCCTCAGTTCTTGGAGACCTCCATCTGTGTCAGTATGGAGCAGAGCAGCAAGGCTCCACAGAGGATCAGTGTTCCGTGGAACTGGTTTGTTGGCACAAACTCTCCCCTCTCTGTTCTGTTCTTACCTAGTTTACTGCTGGCATGCATGTCAGCCAACTTCATTCATACAATTCATCTTTCCTCTTCTGGGTTGAGCTGCTGCCATACTGTGTCTTGCTGGCACCAGCTGTCTGTAACTCTCCTTCTGTTAGACACTAAGGAAATATCTGCATCTCTTACTCTCAGAACAAATTTTCACCTCTGTGTATCCTATTGTCACATCCCCAGGACATACTGGGCTACACAAAGTCCTGCTTGTCTTGACAGCTCTGAGGAAAAGGACTGAAGCCAGCTTTTTGGCCCACAAAGTGTCTCAACCTTAATATCCTGTGGGGCTCAATCCTGCCCTATGTGAGACAGTTCTGGTGGCCATTCCTTGAGACACAACAGTGGGATGAGTGGATCTTGGCCTTCTGAATGACCATGCTGAGTAAAACCTATTTCTCCACTGAAGAAGATTATCACTGAAGTGGACACATAAATATCAACCTTCTCTACTTTACATTTCAGTGCAAAACTGAAGTAAAACTCATTAATGATAACCAATGACTATTTCTTCTGCCTTTAGTGCACAATAAGAAGTCACCTCTAAGACAGTTTTATGCTTTTATGATCTAAGCATCTGCCCCACCCCTCAGTATAATTATACTCCAATAAGTGAGCAGTGGTTTTTTTTCCCTCCTAGTGCCTTGAATGAACAACATTAAACTTCCAGAAATTCACCTGTTTGTGAAGAATGCCACCCACGGAAAACTTCTGTTGTGAGTTTCTACAAACACACTTTGTGCAAAGAGATTTGGGCAGCAGCTGTGCTGTAAAACAGAAAATCTGAATTAGTAACAGTCCAACACCACATCATTGGCTGAAAAACGATGTCAGATATCATTTTGTGTCAGGTATCTGTCACCAGTAAAGGTCGTTTCTTCCTTTCCTTCTTATCACCCAATGCCATTGCCAGGGCAGCAGTGCTAGGGAGCAAGCAATGGATTACATGACTGTGTGCTGGCCAAGTACAGGATGTGCAAGGTCTCTCAGGTGAGTTCATGGGAGCAGAAGGAAGGTTTCTGCAAGATGCACTACTAATATTAACACCATAATACCTCTGCAAGGAAGAACAGTTTAAACATATGCAAGGGTTTTGCTGTAAGACATATTCATGACAATGAAGAGAAATAAATTATTTATATACCTGCAGATGAGTCTATGAACTATTTGTCTTAGCTGGAGGTACTTGGCAATTGAACAGCCAGTGTGACCCAACCTACTGTCCTGTCACTTGTGATGGCAGGGAGCACCACATGTGCCTTTCTTGTCATGCACCCACCACCCATACTGTTTATGTGCAAAAACTTTCTAGTCTAAGCTTAAATAAGTAAATGATGTATTTGCAGAGGCAACAAAGAGAACCCATGCAATTTAATACTTACATTTAGAAAACGACCCACATTTCCTTCTTTTGTGGCATCCAGTACATAAATATTTTCTTCATTACTGTTCTTGGGAAGCATGCCATCATCCTCAGACTCCTTACAAAGTGCATCATGTTTTGCCTGCCTGCTATTTTCTCTGCAGTCAGTTTTTAGGGGTGCATTGCTGGATGGCCTCACAACACAGGTGTCATCCAGCACACTGGACTTGCCACAATCAACACCCTGCAGTGACAGACCCTTTTTTTCACAGCTTGCACTCTCTACACCAGCAGAGTCAGTCTGTCCAACGTCCATCAGATGTTCTTCCTTCTGCTGCTGGGTGCATTCTGTCAATGGACATATATGTTATTTCTCAACAGCAGCTTAATGCCAAAGCCTTTCCCTTGTTTGACCCCAAACTCTTAGCCACCCACTTTTCCCACATCCTCCAGAATCTAAGGAGCTTCCCTGCTATCTACAAGTCTGTAACACAATTTTTCCATGTCTCTCATCAATCCTCCCAACAAATGATTGTTTCCTGCTGTGATGCCTAAAGCACTTGCTCAAGGTGCCTCTGAGTGATCTAGTGTCTCACTGTTCTCAAATCCCATTCCAGACTGACTTTTCCCACATAGCATTTTTTATCATTCTCCATCTTAATCCCCAAGATAATCACAAATTGTAATTAAGACAGAAGCAAAATAGATGTGCAAATAGCATCAGTTTCACACTGCCTCTCCAGCTTGATGTCCCCCCCCCGCCAGTGCTATATCCTGTTTAATTTTTGTTGGCTGGAACAGGTACTGGGTGTGACACAACAAGATCTGCAAGGCTGACTTTCCCACAACTGCACAGTATTTGAGAAGCTGCTGTCTGGACAGTTCAACTTGTCTCAACATCTATGGACAGCACTGTTCTACTCTAAGAAGTGGCCTGCCCACACTGTCAACATTAAAGTCTATCCCGAGATGGGACACAACTGTACAAAGCATGGATACATACAATAGAGCTCTGCAAACCCACTTTGTTTTCCTTTCTTTGTTCCACTGGTTAGTTTTGTTTTGCTTGGCTGATGAATCTGAGAACTATCATCTTCATCTGAGCTGGCACTGTGGACCTGTGTATCAAATGAAAAGGCTGTGATGTGCTGCATGCAACTCTGGGCCAAAAGAGCATAGCAAGTGGCTTTTAGAATTCCAAGGCTGAAGTTTCAAAGCTATTGTAATGCATAGCTGTGGCTGAATTTAAGAAGTTAATACATTTACTGCAATGCAACATTTATCTTAATTTCAAATTCTCCTTCATAATAACCAGGAAAGAGTCCCCCAGTCATTAAGACATGTAACTAAGTGCTTAAGTCCCAATTATTTTACTAGAATTTTAAGTTGCTTAGCCAAATCCCAAACATGCTTTTTACACAGTTTCAATGAAATTACCAGATGTGGCAGAATTTCTGTCTCATCACAAAAAGGCAATTAGTTACAGGACCACTAGAATGGACAGCTCTGCAAAATGTTTGCGTGAAACTTCCATGTGTATTTCTTAAGGTCAACGAATCCAGTAAAACCTACAGCATAAGTTTACACAGTTTTCCTCCTCTGCACATGTTTGCAGGCAACACTTCACACTCATAAAAGGTCAGGAGTCACATTCAGGTCAGTTCTCCCAACTCTGTTACTGTATGAGAAAACTGCATAGACATCCTGGAATTCCCTTCTCTCCCTGCTGTGCCATTCTTTGGGGAGACAGCACAAAAATATTATCACTCTGACCCCCTAACCCTGTACACAAGGGGTGCAGGGGGAGAATGATTACTTCAGGCTCTTGAGGAGTGTAAGTGAAGGAGGAAGAAGGGAAGGCCATGAGAGTAGGTAGTGCTGTTCCTGGGAAACGCACTGAAGGACTGATAATGGAGAGGGGATGGGGTGCAGCTTCCAGCATGACAGCCTAGCTCACAGTGGGACCCAATCTCATGAAGAAAGGTCATTAGAACTATCTAAACATACAAGATGAAAATATCAAAGTTAATATACATATTCAACACAGTGAAAAATGAATCTGTTAAAGCCACTTATTACCATTTTTAGCTGGTGATTGCGAAAAAGTGTTCTAGTTCCAGGCCTTCTCACTGCTGCATTACTTGAGTTCTTTTGATGAACCCTGCACAGAAGGGTCAAAAGGAAATGATAAAATACAAACAGACCCATGAGTAACTCTCACAAGACACATTTCTCTAACAGTCTCTAGTTCCAGTCTCTTCTCTAGAAGGAACTACAGCACAGCCTGTGGTCTGGCCTCATCCCATGCTCTGTGAGTATTTTGTTTTTAATTGAGAACCTAGGCTAGGTTCTTTATTGCATTTGTAAGAAAGCAGTTGCTCAAACTTTTTTGAGAGATCAGCAGCTGCTTTTATATTCTTTTCCAGTTGTCATGCTGAGAACCAAATTGTCTGTTGCTTTACTATTATTATATCAGATTATCTCAAAATAGAGCACCTACAGAGTTTTGCCTTTTCCTGCTACAACTTTCAACAGTTTTGACAGTACAGCTTTCAACTAGGAAAACAGATTCACTGCAGAAGTGAAGTGCTGTCAGACTCTTAGCAGAAGAGGTTAAGGTTTCTGGCAAGAAAGGTTATGTTACAAATAACAAAAGGTTTAGAGACTGGGAGCAAAGGGCAGAACAGCTGGTGGCTGATGTATTATCAAACCCTTCAGTGTCATCAAGTATCTTTAAACAATTTATTTCAAGTACACTTTAATAATTCTTTCAAATTAGCATTCCCATTAATGCCCTGAACAGATCAAGTACACCCAAGAGATGAACTGAATTTCTAGAAAATGCCAAGTGGTACACATAAGTAAAATTAATATAGAGGAAAAACTCTGTCCACTAGAAGAAATAATTGGGAATTTAAAAAGAAGTTCAGAAAGAAAGAACACCACCCTCATATGAGGACATACTCTAAGTGATACAACAGAATTCCTAGATTAGCAGAATAATAGCTTTTTTATGCTTAAGCTTACTTTGATAAACTTACAGAGTTGATTTATTTTCATTATCCACAGTCTGAGACAAAGAATCCTGATTCTCAAGAATGTCATTTTTGGCAGTCTGCACTAGTTCAATCACTGAGTCTGAACGACCAAGGTCAAGTTTTCTTTTTTTGAAAGAAAAGTCATGGCCTCTATCATTCACTGCACTTTTCTCCTTCAGCTCTTGCTCACTATCTTCCAAAACTTCAGCTCTGCTCATTAATCTGCCTGAAAGAAAAAGAAAAGTTTTATTGGTATTTTTTTTTAAATGCTTGTTTGCTGAGTCACACTCACTAGCACAGGTCAAACTTACATTAACAAACAGAAGAGCATTACTTGGGAAAGCAAAGCATGAATGCTGTCTGTAATTCTATGATGTCAATATAGGCTGAAGTACAAACTGAATTAGAGAAGGGCATGTAGTAATAAGACAAAGGACAATGGCTTTAAACTAATGGAGAGCACATCCAGATTAGATATTAGTAAGAATTACTTCATTGTGAAGCTGGGAGGCACTGAAACAAATTGCCCAGAGAAGCTGTGAGAGCCCCATCTCTGGAATGTTCAAGGTCACTCTGGGTGGGGTCTTGAGCCACCTGGTCTAGTGAAAAGTGTCCCTGCCTATGGTAGGAATGCAACTGGATGTTTTTTAAGGTCCCTTCCAACCCAAACAATTCTATGATTTTAAGATTTTTACTGAAGGAAAATTAGCCCTGGCATAGGATGCACTGATTTGTGATGGAAAAAAACAGCACTCTGAGATAGCTTTTGCTCCATTTGTTTGTCTCTCACCATCTCATAGCAGAGCTTTTCAAAGTTCTTACTCATATTGATGATATTGCAAGTTAAGATTACATTGACACACTTCTCTTCCAACCCTGTATTTCCCTGTTCTCAAAAAAAATCCAGGGCACACACCATGGGAGAGGAAGAATTATGCTACATGTCTTCACAGGTCCCCTCCTGCTACCTGAGTAAGTACAAACAAATGTCCCCTTGTCGATGTCATCCAGGCAGCGGACACCCCAGCCCTTCTTCTCCGTGTTGAACACTTGCAGCCTGACTTGAATGCCATGCTGTACAACTCTGTTCTGACACATCAGCTTGTCACACCTGCACAGCACACTACACTCATAAATCCTGTTCAGAGAAGAAAAACAAAGCACAACATAAATGGATGCATGAGCATAACAAAGTTCCTGTTATTAATTCCCCTTCTAAGCATCAACAAGGCAGTGGACTGAAATATAAAGACTCTGGCTAAAACTAGTTGTGTAGCAGTGCTCTGAAGCTTGTGACTTTATTGACTGCTGGTTCATTAATTTTAAGAGTCTGTCTGCCAGATTTTGGCATAAGTATACCTAAGATTACATACATTTTGGCATAAGAAAAACAAATGCTATATTTTTTGTTTTATAGGAATAAATCACACAGAAACAGAAATCCCTAAGAAGCACCTAATTCTATACTGAAACTGATTTTAGCAAGACAACACATGCCTGGACTTCATTGTAGCTGTCCATGCTAATGAAGCATTTCCAAAAGGACTCATAATTGTGGCTTTTTTTGCATCTGTTTCTGGGTTCTCTGACAACTTTAATTCTGCATGTCAGCCAAAAACTAACATCACACAGAGGACTGAAAGGGGCTCCTCAAGCCTGTAGATTCAAGCCTTTGGCTATTGCAGAAAGCTACCTTGCATAATTCCTCTCCTAGACACCTGAGAGTGTCATCTTCTCCAGGCCACCTATTAATCCACTGGGGCTAAATAAGAGAAAGGGCAAACACTTGAAGCATTGGATGGCTTTTGGACATTCTTGGAAGAGTCACCCATAACCAAATCTGGCAAAAGCAGCTGGCTGATGCATCTTTAGGATTCTGGTCACTCTTCACACTTCTCCTGGACCTTGACCTAAGCTGTGAAAACTGTAGGATCTGCAATACAAAAGTTTTTTTTTCCTCCTTTAATTCAAGTCACAATAATTATTTTTTATCATCCTGATCTGTCACTAAAATTGTGACAAAAATGGAAGGTTTCAGTAATCCAAAAACTCCAGATATTTTAATCCTGTGGCACTTAGACTGAACTATTAACTGCTGTTTTATTTGTATGCTCTTATTTTACCTCTGTAGTCTTTCTTACCCACTAGGAACAGGTCCCTCCAGTCTCTTGTAACGGTACCCACGGGATCTTTTACTACTTGGAGACAGAGAAGTTTTACTACAACCTCTTGCTGTTAGCTGTAGACATGCACATTTTGACCTAAAAATAAGAGTAAAACATCTCAGAATGAATTTGAAGCAGTATAAATCAATCATAAATCCAGGTCATTTGAAATGCACTTGACTATACACACACACACACACACACACACACACACACACACACAGACACTTCCATATACACACCTGTATTCCCCCTCCCTGCTCCATTTACTCCACAAGTCTCTTGGCTGGTTACCTGTACTTTAAAATAACCATGTTCTCTCCACCCCAACCCCATTCTTCTGCCAAGCTCCTTAAATGGCACATTTAAACAGCTAAAGTACAACAGAAACTTATCATAGGCAGGACACTGTCAAATGGATCAAATGAATAAAAAACATCTCTTCTGGCACAGCATCCCAGCCTGTTTGCCACTACTCAGTTACCTTCCTCCCTCCTTAGCCCTCAAGAAGTGAAGAATTTTACACTGTGGAAAATTCAAGCAACAGTGTCTTCACCATTTTATGGCATGACAACTTCAAAGAGTCACAGTGATTGTGCAAATCCTAAACTCCAAAACTGCACATCAAAAGCATCTCAATTCTTGTGGGACTTCAGTGCAAAGAAGGGGCATGCTGTGTGCTTGCTGGTTCTCACCACTCAGCTGAAACTAAATTACTAAAATTTGGTTTCATTATACCAGGCTGTGATTTCAAGCTTTTGTTGGGTCATGAGCAACTATGTTGCACAGCAGCACGTGCAACTGCCCTAGCTATTAATAATACAAAATGGATGCAACACCAAATAATGCCTACAGAGAGAGAGAGATCAGACAAACATCCTTCAAGAAAGCAGACAAAAATACCACCAAACTTAGCATATGCTAACTGTGGCAGGTTTCCACAGGGTCTGTAGCTTAGTTACTGGGATTTAGAAAAAGATGACAACAAGCAAGAGTATTGGAACTGCTCAGACCACAAATGTATTCTGTAACCACTGCGTTTTGTAGTTTCTATTTAGACAAGGGGAAGGACAACATGTAGATGTTGGGAATGAGGATGTTTCTTCATCTGTCCTCAGTAACCCTCTAAGTTCCAAATTATCTGATCCCTCAAGGCTGATCCTCCCAATTATCTGATCCCCATCTACAGGATGTCATTTAACAGTAGGAGAAATGCAGCAGAAATTGTCAGGCAGGATCCTTCCCTGCCTGCCATGAAAACAAGCCTGTCTCTGCTGGCACAAGACTACCTTCCCTACTCTTTTTCCAAAGCCAAGATATCTGCTTGTCAGCTCCACCTGGAGAAGAAGCACTTCCAGTTTGGAAGAAAGGAAAAGGAACACAATAATCAGCGTGTTGATCGCTTCCTTCTCTACAACAGAGGGTGGACCAGTGGGAGCACCCAAGCTCTGGAGACGAGAAAGACACAATGGTGTCAGTCAACACAAAGCATGGCACAAGATATTCCAGCAGCGCTGGTCCTGTTCGGTACTGCGCCTTCACACCCCACCACCCTGCTATTGAGGCATCGTGTGTCACTGGCCTGAGATGAGATCTTTCTACCCACCTATCGATGCAGCCGTCTGTGCAGTCACAGGAATCAACAAACAGGCTGGAGAGATTGTTGAGATAATATCCACGTGGCCATGAGGCCTTCCGATACTTGAAATAAGGCAATCTTGCGTGGTCGAGATTGTTACAGAAGGAGATGGGCACAGACTCGGCTCCATCGCTAATATCGAACTCAAACACCAGGGGCTCGGGATTCATGGTGTTCCTGCCCAACAGCACATAGGTGTTGAAGGAGAAGTGATCTACAAATAAGAAATTGCACTCTGTTTCGAACAAGTAGTTCCGCACATCTCGAAAGCTTCTCAGACTCCGACCACAAGGAGCTTTGTAATTCACATCCAGCGGCTTCGAAAGGCAGTCTGCTTTTGCATGGCGTCTTTGGAAGTCAAACAGGATGGGGATCTTCAGAGGATTTTCGCCCTTGTAGGAACCCACTGCTCTGTTGGCAAGACATGCACTAGAGCACTTGTGGTTCTGATACTGAACAGTTAAAGGTAAACCTTGAATTTTGCTTGGTGCTTCTTTACTCCCTGAGCAGGTTTTTTCCACGTCCTCTTTTTCACTACTTGAAGTAAAAGAGTTAAAAAAAAAGAAGGAAGAGCAACATCTTAGATAACCAGTGCTGTGTTCAGTTTTTTAGCAGTTCAATATTTTTAGCCCCATTGCTAGAAGCCCAAGGTTTCACATGGTACAATTGTCCTAACAACATATAAAGACATATCCAGTTACATTAAAAAAAAGCTTCTTCCCAGAACTTACACGCTAAAACACAGCAAGGAAATTTTTAAAAAAAGGAACGATGTATTTACCCCCATCTTTCAAATCAGTACCTGAGGATAAATACTAAACACAAAGAGACTAAGTTACACACCTGACAATCTGCACACTAAGGAAAGCCTGAGAACTGATGCTCAAGTCCTAACCCTGACAACAGTCATGAACTTTATTCACAACCACACCCTATTCTGCAATGTTCTCATGTGGGAAATTAGACAAGTCTATCCAAAATCTCAGGTTTTCCACATAGGTCAAGTTAAAAACATTTTCACTTTGAAACTCGAAGGATTCAAACTGGGTTTAAAACACTGACTTTAGAAATACAAATTGTAGAACTCTCTCAACTGCAGTAGAAAATATGTCAGATAAGGAACTGAAAGAAGGCACTGACCTGTCAGAAGCTTCTACAGTATCTGCAGCAGTGTCACCTGGAAGAAGAGGCTGCAGTTTGGGTTTGGTTTCCTGTGCACCATCTCCATTCAACTCATCACTTACTGAAAAAAACTGAATGTGAGCAAACTCTTCATCAAACCAGATTTCAATTTATGATTGAATTTACTTTAGTTGCTAAAGAGATAATTAACAAAACACATTACAAACAAGGCATTGCTATGAACTACAGCTAACAAAAAGCTTGTTAGCAAGTGTCCCACTGAAAAACTTCCATGTGGTTTTCAGAAAGAACATGCACATGAAACACATTTACAGATCTCCCTTCATTGTTAGAGATAAAAGGATGCCAAGCTATTACAGCCAGTGGAACCATGCACAGGATACTGCTCACAGGCAGCTCGGGTTCATAAGGGCTTACTAGCTCAAATTCTCTTCCCATGGTACAGGTATTATACATATACACACAACCACAAAAATACAAACCCAGGTGAGAGGTCACAGTTCAGTACTTGAGGAAATTAATAATTAGGTTTTCCTTATTGTAAGGCTAATGGCCTTCTCAGATCTATTTCATTGATTTCAAAGAAGGGAATTGAGCTTCTAGTGAGTAAAACAAGACAAATTAAATCCACACACCAAACAAACACAATGGAAACGCACATACCATTTGGCAAGGTTAAGAGATCACCTAGATTAGCTTCATTCACCAGTGCCCAAGCCTGCCAGCATTCTATGCAAAAAAAACCAAACCAAAACAGATACTAAGTTGGATTTAAGTGATGATAATAGATAAAACAAGGTGTTAAATCCTCCACAGACACTTGTTTCTCCTCACTTGCTTACCTAGAGCATCTCAAGACTGATACTATTTGAAACGTGCTGCACCACAGACCTGTGCAGACACATCTAGGAATTACAAAATTGTTACAGCTCATAGCACTGTGAATTGTTGTGAATTGGCACTCAATATCTGTCAGCTTTTGGAAAGCTGCTGGAATGTTTCCAAACACACAAACTGGTGGCCTATAGTGGGAGCAATATATATCAAGACAACTTAGTGTAAGCTTCTACCTTGGTCATCAGACTGATCAGCTTCAGGCTAAGAAGTGCTGGAACTTGGCAGACTGAATTAATGCTACTTCTAAATTGGTGGAAATGGCCTTCAGATAGAAGAATGCAAGACACCCTTTCTGTCTCAACCTCTTACCCCATGCCATAAATATTATAAGCTGGCAGACAACTCTCAGCAAAATCCACCTTAATATTTTAGCTTGAAACCTTTACAGAAGGCAGCACTGAAAAATTCAAACTGAACTTTATCACAGATTCATTGCATCATCTGGGGATTCAAGTTCAACTTTTATCTCTGTACTGCTTTGATATTTTGTTGTAACAGTCAAGATGTGGGAGCTCAAGAACAAAAAAACCTGCACTTCCAGTTTAGAGGAAGTGCTATATATATAATGCAGAGTGTGTGGCTATATTAGTTTAAAAGCATCTTACACCACTGTACATTTTCTTGCACAAAAAAAACCCAATAAGGTCCACAGATTACATTTATATAGGTGACTTAGCAAAAAGAAGCAATTTTACTCAATTAAATAAACCAGTAAAAAGAAATCTGTGTACTGCTCCAAGCTTATCAGAATTATGATTTTAGTGTATTTTGATGTAGATAGAGGAAGCTTCTTTCCTTGAAATCAGGAACAATCTGAAATGCATTAGTGTCACATTTTTCTACTATTGTTTCATGTTATAATGGTGTCTCTGATAAAAAATAATACTGAGGTGATTATTATCCTACCCCAAAACCACTCAATTCACTGACAACAGCCTGAAAGGCTAAAACTTCTGATGATATATGAAACACAAGGCACTGCAGATATTTCATTACTTCTCAAAAATGAATATTTCAGTTCCATGTGCTTAAGAGCCATTCATTGTTGAAAAAGTATGCAGGCAAAACAAGAAAATAGCCAATTGTACCTGAAATTACTTTTCTTCTTTTTTTTTTTTAAAGATATTTTTAAAGTGCTTAAAACCACCAACAGCTAAGTTATTAAAATTCAGAGATATCTGGATTATGGCAGATATCACACAGACCTACACAATGTAGGCCACAGCTACTCTGCAGTTTAATCACCACAAGGATTTCAAACCTTGGTTTGTTGCAGTTCCATTCTTGATCTTTTCCTTCAGCAAGGACAGCACATTTTGCAGCTTCTCAAATATGACATCCACTCTTCTACCTCCCAATTGTGTCCAAAATGTCTTCACATCACCTGAAATGCAAATTACCATTTACATCTCCTGAGAAGTCTAAAAACATGCAAACTCCCAGTGGACTATTCAAAGGCTCCCAGTCATTTAATTTGGAGTCATTTTTGAAAAAAGCAATCAGTACAGCAGGATTCATTAAAACTCCAGAAGTCTACTCCTAAACCTAATCAAGAAAGTGAAACAGAAGTCAAGTGATGAACTGGAGTGGCTTCCAATGGTGCACAATGCTCCTTCAAGCAACTTTTTAAGCAGGTCACAAAAGGAGCTGTGGAAGCCTTTCTTCAAAGACCAGCAAATGAATCCCATTAAAAATGAATCACTGAAATTCACAAAAGCGACACAGGAGAATATTTTCAACTGAATGAACCGAATATTTTACTTGACAAAAGACACTGGGATTTTTTTTTCATAGCTGTAACCTCTCTTAGCTGCATAGGCTGACTATCCTGTCCCATCATTAGTTTTGGTAGGTTTTGTCAGGGAAAAAACTTTCAAAATATTTTCAGATAAAAGTAGTTTGATAAATGTTGTTCAACAAGGGGTATCAGTTGAAATAACTAAGACACCCCATATATCATGCCCCCTTCCTCTATGAGAAATATTGATAAAGAACATTTTGTTTAAAGAAATGTTTTTTAAGCTACTGGTTTAGAACCTCTTCTCTTTCAAAGGTATGTATGTACCTTTGAGGTTCTAAGCCCGATCAAGAAGGGTCTTGTAAAAATTTTAGCTGTGCATCTTTGTCAAGGACTGTGAAAAGGAAATATGTTTCAGTGTGTCAAAAGATGATGGCAGAACAAAGAACCAGCTCTTTCTCAGTTAATTTTGCTCTTCTTCAATGACCAAACACAAAAGCATAAGCTAATCTGTTTTCCTACTCAATTTCTAGAGGTGGAGTCACCACTGTCACCACACTAGGTTTTACATTTCACTTTCAGAAAGCAAATCTCTGTTGGTGCTGGGATAACACCTTCCCAGCAGTCAAGAAATACTGCATTCCTTTCAGGCTCATAAATAATATTCCTTCATTTTTTGGCTTAGTGGAGAATGATTTCTGTCACCCAGGGTACCTGAAGCCCAGTGATGCTATGGCAGTGTGGTTACTCTCAAAAGCTCCACGACAGCAGAGAAAGAAGTAACAAACTTTGGTCACAACAACCCCTGCTGCTCATGTCACCAGCAGCTAAAGGCATAATATTTAATATCAACAGGAAATAATAAAAGTACTTTTCTCTTGTGAAATAGCTTGATTTGGCACTAACTCTCAACAAAATTTAATGATCTCTTATATTAACAGAAATTTTTTTAAACATGTGGAAAGCCTAAAGTCCAAGTACAGAAAAAGTCACAACAATTTTTGGAAACCTACACTATTGGTCCAAGGGACACCACCTGCCCTGTGCCATTCCCACCCTTTTGCTGTGCATGACAGTATCACAAATTTAATATAACAAAAAGTATATTTAATATTTGTGTTTAAAATAAAATTTTTAAAACACATTCAATTAAAAATATGCATTTTGAACTTCTAGTAATAAGTTTCTCCACTGCAGATTAAAACTTCTGTCCTTATTCATTACATGTTTTCAGCTATTTCCATACATTGACTAAATCTGGATAGCACTGTGGATGGATTAATTCCAAGGGTGGGTGACAGAAAAGTTTCTTGTTTCTGGGTCCTCAGCTATAATAATGTGTAGGCTATAGGGAAATAAAACACTCACTTTGGAAATGCCCCCCCAGTTCTTATGCTGGAGTGCCCCAAAACTCCAGCAGCAAAAGCTTTGTTTTGCACAGAGAAGCAAAGATTTCATTTTTGTTCATAGTATAACTTTCATTTCAAAAAAGACAGATGTCCACATCACTAAACTCTCCAGTGCTAATGCTGCTACCACCAATCACAGCCAGAAGGACAGGGAATGAGCAGACACCAGATACATCTACCTTGTCAGCATTGAGAACCATCTCTCCAACTGATGGATCAGGGTGTGCACTGGCACCTGGCTGGAGGGATTTTCTTTTCCCTTTATAGAATCCTTGTGACCACATATCTCTTTTTTCCCAGCATTGTGCAGGGCAGTGATGCTAGAGCAAGCAACAAGCAGCAAAGGTCAGGGCTACTTACTCCAGCCATCAGATAAACAAGCTGGGTGCATGTTTCCTGTAGTAGCTGCTTACAAACCTCTTACACCATAAAAGGAAAACTATTGTCTTCGGTAGTAATTTTCATATCAGAAGCAGTGCCAAATATACATTCCTTTCCTCTTTCCCTCTATAAATGCAAATTATACTACCTTCAGTGCTCTCCTCCCTGGAACTGGTAAGGTTCTCCTCTTCAAAGAGGTCACACAGCACTGCAAGAGATGCAGAATGGACAAGTGAGTAAGAGATCGTCTGAGAAATTAAAAATAATTGTATTTACTCAGCTTTTCAAAATTTATACTAGTAAATACTGCAGTGGGCATGAGTGGAGGAGCACTGTGTGAGAATATGTTGTGTTGAAATAGTCACTCCCCTTTCAAACAGTCATCCCATGCCTTGTCAAGATCTAGCTGAGGAACACTCAAACAATAAGTGTGAGGAAATTTTTTTACTTAGGCCATTTCTTGCTGTCCTTCAAGCATGAAGCTGTTACAAGACGACCTGAACTTTCCAGCACATTCAGATGAGCCTCCACAATCACCCTGTCCATTAACTCACAGTTGGGTTTTTCCTAAATTGATGTGCTCAGTACAGCAGTACTATAACTAAACCAATTTATTTAGGGGAAAAAAAGGAAAGCTGTTTTTAAGTACATAAATTACTGAATTTGTTTCTTGACAAATGCAAGATAACCTTCACTGCAAGAATACTAAGTAAGACAGCACTCTTCAACACTGCAAGAATACTAAGTAAGACTGCACACATTGAAGATTCCAAATTTTTATCTCCATGAATCACGGAATCAAATAGGTTGGAAAAGACCTCTGAGATCATCCAGTCCAACCCATGACCGAGCTGCAGGACGCAAACTGGACCTTGGCACTGAGTGCCACATCCAGTCTTCCCTTAAACACCTGCAGGGACGGTGACTCCACCACCTCCGTGGGGAGCCCATAATGACACAGACAGCCTTATTTACGTTCGCTCCTTCATCTTTTCTATGCTGTAACTGAAAAAAGAAATCAACCCCAACTTGCCATTCATTCTGGATACCCCATTGAGTTGAACGGGAAAGTAGGTCAAGACAGGTGACTCCTAAAAATGTTTCTTACAAGACTAATGGCTGCCCAAAACATGCATATATATACATATGTAGCTATAATTTTTTTCAAAGGCTTACTGCTTTTCTCTTCCATCCTCCGGGGCTCTGATCGGAGAGCTGTCACCGGCGCTGTGACGGCGCCGAGCCCGGCTCAGGTCGGCGTCTCGCTGCGCTCCGCCACGGCCGCAGGGCCCGCGCCGAGGGCCGGCGGGCAGGGGCCGTGGTGCCGGTGGGGCTGGCAGGCCGGCATGGGGCGTGCCTGCGGCCAGGGCTCGGGCCCCAGGTCACTCCCGCACCCCTCGGGGCCTCGGCCAGGCCCCCCCCCGGCTTCTTCTTCTGCTGCTGCTTCTTCCCTTCTCCTCCTCCTCCTCCTTCTCGCCCAACGCTGCACCCGCGCTGCCGACCGCCAGGGGGCGCAACCCCGCCGGGGAGCGCGAGAACCGGGATGTGGGCGGCCCCACATGAGGCGGGGCCGCGCGCGCGCAGCCCTTCCCTCTCTTCCCATTGGTTGTGGCGGCAGGAGGGGCGGTGGCAGTGACCAATGGAGAAGCAGGGAGGGCGGGGCGGGGGCAGGGCCGCGCGGCTGTGGAGAGGCGGTGCAGGCGGGGCGGGGGCACGGCCGAGGGACTGGAGGTGCGTCCGCCATGTTGGAGGGGGCGGGCCGGGGGGCGGGCTGTGCGCGGCGCTGTGGGGGCGCCGGCGCCATCTTGGGGCCAGGAGGAGCGCGGGGCATAGGGTGGGTGTCCGGCTGCGGTCTGCTCGTTAATGTATCGTAAATTAAAGCGTTTCGTACGTGGAGTTGCGTAACATCGCTGCTGGCCTCTGCTCTTCTTCCTTGCTGGCTGCGCTGCTGCCGTATGGAGCGCTAAGTTGTCGCTGCCCTTTTCTGTTCGAAATGCGAAAATAAAGTTTGATATCTCCATTTATAATTTTCAGCTCCGTTGCCTTTGCGAGTGTTGGTGTTGTGGTTATGTAAAGGTGTTTTTCACGGGGGCAAAAATATAACCCATTTTTAAAAAGCACGGAGGGTGCTTTTTTGTCCCTTCTTTTTTTGCCACCACTTTAAAACTGTAGAGATAAACATGCTTAAATAATTGGGAAAATATTTCCCATCTTGTCGATATCTCGTGGCGGGGGGTAGAAATGTGATTATTGTGGGGACAGGAATGCTGTGTTTACGTGACCTGGAGCTCTCATCTGACCCAAGATCCTCCAGAAGATTTTGATGTCCAGCATCTGCTTTGTACTTGTATAAAACCTTTTAAACGTTTACACAGACCTGCCTTCATCTGTGGCTGAAGCTCAGCCCATGAGAGCTGCCCAGGTCCCCAGACGGGAATGAGACAACTCACAGCAGCATTGCTGGGAAGAGGATGGCTCAGCACTCCTGATGTGCTGGCAAATCTCTCAATAAAATAGTAGTTTATTATGTTTTATAAAAGAGACTTCTCCCTTGTAATTGTTCATTTTAAAATTAAGCACAAGCTTTTCTTGCTCTTGGAATATTCTGCATTATGAGGTGATGCTTGCAGATTAATCTGGCTTTGCTGAATTATTAATAAATGTGCTTGTGAATGCTGAATGTTAGGGAACACTTGTGGCTTTACAATTGTATATACAGAATAAACCAAATGCAGAGGAGATGGAGCCATATGCTGGAAGAATCTGAAAGAACATGACTACCTGCCTTGGACAAATTTTGAATTTTTGAATATATTAGAAAGTACTAATAGATTTTGCTTGCTACTTGAAGCAAAAAGAATGGTAACTACATCTTTCTTTAAATTAAAGACTTAGGACAAAATTTATGAGGCACTTTTGATACATGCCTGAGTTTCCTTCCTTTTGCTTTTAGCCTGGAACTGTAAGATAGGCTTTCTGCAACACAGCAGCAAATTCTGCCAGTGAACCAGTAAGCTCAGTTCTTCCCAAACTTGTTAGGTGGCAGAAGCTCACAAGCGATGCTGATCTGACATCCCAGCAACCTGCCTGCAGCTCTCCTCCAGCAGCAGTGGGAGCTTCCTGGGGCTCTGCAGTCTGCACCTGGACTGACTCCCTGTACCCAGAGGTGAGGGCAGCGCTCCCACGGGGTGACAGGAAAGGACCGACAGGAAAGGACTGGAGAATGGTGCTGTTGACTGAGTTGCTGAATTAAGCTTTCATTACATAGCTCTGGTCATATGCTGAGAGTTAAAATGAGCAATTGCATAGACAGGCAGAGTGCATGTAGCTCCTTGGAGTGGGAGGAGGTGAACCTGGTCTCAAAGGAATTAATCTAGTTTTAATCTAGAATTAATCTTCTCCAGGGATGGTTTTTTCACTGTGAATGCAGTGGGGATTTGGGTTTTTCCTCATATGACCAGATAGATTTGGGTGAGGTAGAGACACACAAGTCAAGCTCCAGCAAACAGCAAAGCAGTCAAAGCCATAGACTTTGGAAAGCCATGGGCATTCAGAAAATGTGGGTTTTGTTGGGTCTTTTTTTGTATTTTTGTTTTTTTGGTTTTTTAAGTTCTGATAGAGCTTTCTGTCCTTTTCTGATAGGCTTGGCTCTTTGTTTTATTGACTCTTCTTAAAGTGTCATTATATCCATTGAATACTTCTGCCAGCTCCCGCTCTGTCACATTTTCCCTGTTATCCTTGGTGATTTAACTTGCTCACTTACAGATGAATGTCTGCACTTCATCCTTTCAAAATGCAACTCTGATATAATCTACTTTTTTATTACATTGATTAGTTTCTGTGGTTTATATGTAGCCTCTTGTTATTCACAAGTCTATCTTCAGTAAGGTAACAGAACAGAGAACAGGCAATTCACTGCAAATCATAGATCACTCCTACTTTACAAATTGATTACAAACAAAATGGTTTTAGTGAGGCAGCCTTTGGTTTATCTTAGAAATTTTGCTGCAACACATCATTATCTGTGAAGACATAGGCTAATATTCCCTGTAGGTATGTTGCTCACTAATTGGACTCAGAATATTTACAGGTCCTCAGTATGTTTTGTTACTATGTTTTGTAATTCTTTTGCTATTGTAGATATGGTAGAAGGTTATTCAGATAATTTTTTTTCCCCCAGGTATTAAATGAAAGAAAGGGGAGATTATGGGTCTCTGAGAAGCCTGTAAATGAATTTTGTTCTACCTCTGGTGTAAGCATGTTTGCATTCTTGGCAACTAAAAGTCTAACAAATTGTCTGTTTGAGAAGTGGAGGTTCTAAAATCATAGGCTGTTATAGTCCTAAGGGAATCTTAAAGCACAGGCAGAGACTGGCTAGGAAGAGGAAAGGAAAAATTTGTGTCACTGTTTTAACAATAGACTTCTTTCATGTGGAGGACCTAGATGTCTGTTAATTACTAACTGGCTTGAGGGTTTTGGAATCTGGCCCAATATGCTGAAACTCTTAACCATCCACTGGCTGGCATTTTCTCCAAGGTCTGCATTTGGAAACTGGTAGTGCAATGAATTTCATCTGTTTATGTAGCAGAGGCGTTTTCAGTTTCAGCCATATTTCTGTCTTCCAGTCTCGGTATTCATTGCCAGCAAAGATTCCAGGCAGCTGCGTGAGCACAGAGAGCAGGGACTGCTTTGGATGTTAGGGTATGTCAGACCAAGCTGAGCAGCATGTCTTGCCTTTGCTGTGCCACATCTCCACCACACTGATCAAGACCTAAAACTCTGCCCTCTGATTTTGGGTGATGTGAGCGAGTTAACAAGATCTGAAAGCCTGTGATTACAAGTGCACTTGAAAGGGCCTGAGATTTCTGGAAACCAGGCAGTAGGTATATGTGGTGAAAGGAATCCAAAATAAATGGATGCCTATAACCCTTTTTATCTTCATTTTTCCATGTGAACACAGCAATATATTTATCTGAAATAAGTTTTCACTGGTACTTTCTGAAGTAAGGCTTGTGGTTGTAAAGTATTCTGACCCTTTTGATGGCTCTTTGTGGCTTTGCCTGCAGGGTAAAGTATGCACACAAACTACTTTCATTACATGAACACATAGAAGACATTAAGCAATCTGCAAGAATTAATGAATTTGTGGTGTTCCCACTCTGAAGAGATGATCTCTGGGGACCCCTACAACTTCATTTTGATTTGCCTTTTGACCTTTAAATCCAAGTGTGGAGGCAGCTGCCCTTGTGGTGCCTGCTGATAGAAGGTTGATGGGCTGGTGCTGGTCTTGCTAGCTGCTGTGGAAAGGCAAGAGAGGCAGTGCCTGCTGCAGAATTGGACTTGAACTAATAAAAGCCATCAAAAGGAGACATAGGGCAACAACCTGAAGTCATTATTGTGAGTGGTGAAACAACCACTTTCAAATAAAACTGAAACATGTAAGGTTTCAAATGTACTAAAGGGAATTTGACTAAAATCTTAGAAAACAGGGTAGATATGTGTTGTGGTGTGAAGGCTCAACAATAGAGCTCTTCATAAGAATATTCTGGACTAAACAGTCCTTAGTTATAGTTTCCTGTGAGGAAATTAATTTAGTTGAAGAAAATTCTAATTTTTTAGTTTCTTTTTTTTCCTTAATCCTGTTCAATGTGTTGCATCAGTGCTAGGTTTGCTTAACTTTGTAGGGATGTGAAACCAGCAGTAAGGTGTGAGGAACAGGAGCAGCAAGAATGGAATGGAGTATTGTCCTATTAATATTTATTTCATTTAGGTTTGTTTATAAGTGTTTTGAAGGGTCAGGGAAGGCACAGTCCCCTGAATGTTTAAAATTGGCACTGTCAAAGAAAGAAACAATCAAGATGTTCCTGGACTTCTTGGACTGCCCTGTTCCTTTGTGTCATTACTCATGGGACTGACTGGGGTTCAAAAAAAATACAAAACCCCCAACCAAACAACAACAAAACAAAACAAAAAACAAACAAACAAAAACCCAAAACAAAACCAAAAATCAAAACCAAAACAACAAAAACCCAAAACCCAAAACCAAACAAAAAATAAACAAAAAACCCAAAAAAACAAAAGAAAAACCAAACCAAACAACAACAAAAAACAAACAAAAACTCCACCAAAACAAACAAACCAACCCCAAAAAACCAACCAATTAAAAAAACCCAAACAAAACCAAAAAAAAAAAAAACCAAAAGCACCCACAAAAACTTATTTGGCTCAGCTATATTTATCTGAATAACTTCCCATCTCATTTGCTGTGCAGCCACTTGGTATTTGTGCTTTTCTCAGGCAACTGGAGGTGGTCTAGGTGCAAAATGAGTATCTGGAAATCAATGGATTGCTTTCTAATTGTTGGTGTCATTTATCTCAATTTAAAATGTTTGAGCCAACTACTTCTACAGTATGAACAAAGTGGTGGTATGAGCAGAATACTTACCATATCTAGGTTATTTTGGA